GTAGTCGTCATCTCCGTCGTTGCGGACGACGCCATCACTGGCCGCGCTCGCGGGTTGCCCCACACTTCCGTGCTGCGATGTCTGTGGTGCAGGTTGTCCCGGAGTGCCAGGTGCTTGCGAATGTGCTTGTTGTGCTCGTGCGACGTCATTCTGCAGGGACGTGCGTTCTGCCGTCAGCGCCACGATTTCTTCAGAGCTTTTGCGAAGTTGCTGCAGCAGTTCGTTCAGACGGTCCTGTGTGAGCGTAGTTACGTCGATGCGTTCGGCCATGTCGAAGGGCGTCGGCTCAGCTTAGTCTAGGCGCAATCGTGGCTGCACGCGTTTACGAGAGAACGCGAGGATAGCGGCTCCTAGGTGCTAAGGAGCGTGAGTCCGTTCGAGTGAAAAAACAAAAGTTGATTTCCTGGGGTGCGGAGATGCGCGGTCCGAAAAGGAAAGAGGCTCTGGATACCAAGTGTTACGGGTGCAATGAATCGAGGTAGCGAGGATTGCACTAGAGTGTTCAATGAGTACAAATTATGAGCGAAGGCATGAGCAAATACTTATGTGCGAAACATGCAACGGTTACGCGGTGCGTGCGAGCTAGCTAGTGCTACGCTGGCATGGAGGTTCGGGCTAGTCCCGAAGCGTAGGCCGATTCGGCTTGGCCAGCGATGAAAGGTTTGGTGAAACAGTGAGCGCGAAGTTGGCGAAGCCCCGTTAGCAGTAACGGGCCAACAACGGCTGCTGCTTGTACGCGATGTTGATGGTCGCGATAAGGAATGTCAGAAAAATCCTTTTGGTGATATGGCAGGGAGGTGAGCGGAAGCATTTTCGTCACGGTTTTGGTTACCGCATATGTAGAGACGGTGACAGAGCGAACACCAACATTTTGCTTTTCGTAGATGTTCGTCCAGCTTCCCCCAACCTGTTCGTCTTCTTCCTCCCCTCAACAACCCGTTCTACTTCAGATCCATTTCCCAACTACATGTTACGGAGATTTCATCAGGAACTGGTATTAGTTAGCAACGAGCCGACTATACTCTCTTTTATCTCCCTTTTTCACCGTTTCTATGGAGCCAACAGCTTGTCCATTCGACGATCTTTCCGACGAACTTCTCTCGTACCTCCTCTCCCGGCTCGGCCCGGACCTCTTTTCGTTTCGCCACGCCCTCGTCTGCAAGCGATGGCTCCGCGTCGCACGCGTCGCTCAAACCGACATTCGCGTCGCCAGTCGCAGGGAGATCTCGAGCGCGTCGCTGCTTCGCGCGTTGTCAGCCATGCCGAACCTAACGTCCCTGCAGCTAGCGAATCGCAGTCTTGACGTGATCAACGATCGGATCATCTCCGGTTTAGGCTCGGCATTGCCGAACCTCAAGCGATTCTCCCTAACGGCTACCAGGCGTGTGTCGTCAGCTGGAGGAGTCACGGAAATTGGTTTGGACGGATTCTTTCAAGCCTGTACGCGATTAGAGGGGCTCGGACTTCACACTATACCTAGCGTCAAGTTTCTCCCTCCGTCCTTAATTTGTCTGACACAACTGGAGTTTCTCGACATTTCATTGGATGCTCTTCGCAGCCTGCCCGAAGAAATCTCGCAGCTGCCCGCTTTACGCATCCTACACCTCCAGGCGCCTCACCTCAGGGCTCTGCCCGAAAGCCTGGGCAGACTGAAGAATCTCAGCGTACTAGAACTGGTGGAGTGCAATTCGTTGCCTGCCCTGCCTGAATCCTTCGGGCAGCTCTCCAGCCTCGTTCACTTCAGTGCCACCACCTGCTACAGCTTGACATCTCTGCCCGAAAACTTCGGTCAGCTGCAATCTCTCAAGACACTCGAGCTTGCTCTTCCGTGCCTTACAAGCCTCCCAGAATCCCTCGGGCAGCTGCCATAACTTTGGAATCTGGTCCTCTGTTCCTGCCATTCCATCCACTACCTCCCATCCTCCATGAGCCGTTTATCCTCGTTAGAGAGTCTTGAGATAAGCGAATGCTTTCTTACCCTTCCTGATGACATTGGCTTTCTTCCCAATCTCTGGAGCCTGGAGATACACAATTGCGAAAATCTTACGGAGCTGCCCGTTTCCCTCCCCAAGCTGGACCGCCTGACCGACCTCATGATCACAGGCTGCCGAAACCTTTTCAGGCTGCCCGAGGATTTCGGGGATTTGCCGGCTTTAGAAAAGTTGGAGCTCTGCAACACGTACCAGCTCTCGCACTTGCCCGACTCGTTCGGGCAGCTTAAAAAGCTTAGGACCTTGAAGCTGCTTGCCTGCAACAGGCTTACCACGCTTCCTTGCACATTCTCCCAACTTTCTTCTCTTGAAAGTCTCAAGCTCATCAATTGTGAACTTTTTTCTGCCCTGCCTGAAGAGTTTTCGCAGCTGCCCAACCTCCAAGAGCTGTCCATCAGTTGGTGCCCTGAGTTTCGGCACATCCCATCTTCCTTCACTCAGCTTTCTTCTTTAACGCATTTCACGGTCACCTGCTGCCGGAATTTCTCCGAGCTTCCTGAAGGCTTTGGGCTTATGTCAAATTTGAAGTCGTTTGAGCTAACTGGTTGTGACCGGTTGACCCGACTACCCCGTCTTTAGCGTTGCTATGTGAGATAGAGAGATTGGAGATAAGTGGGTGTTCAAACGTTATCGATGCGCCACTCTTTCTGTGCCATCTTATAGGATGATTTGGCTTGTAATGCTAGAATGTGTTTCTTTGATTCGAACTTGTGAACATTGAGGTAGTGTGCTCCAACCTTGAAACATCTCTGGTGTGTTTATTAATAGCGGGATTGTCATACACATCTTATTTGGTGGCAGCGGTGCGTGTGAAGTTGGGTTCAGTTGAAGCAAGCAAGGAGGCGCTTGATAGAAGTTAGGGCTGACGTGGCGCCAGTAAACCGTCACGCTCCGCTGCCCCATCAGGCTCAGGCAAGTGCTCTAGCGGGGCACTTGACGACGACTTGCGTGCCCAGCGACGGCACGATCAAACCACAAGAAATGCCTTTAGCACACGGCGCAAGCCTCGTGCACATTGCCGAACCTCCTCATTCCCAGCCAAGTCCTGTTTTTTTTCACAGGCGGAGCGTTTTTCTCCGAACCACGCATTTTGGTCTGTAATAGCCCTTCCGCTAAGGCTCTGGTTAGGGCAAGAGCGCTTTCGTTCGGGACTTCGCTGGAACCAACCAAAATCAAGGGTCCAGCTTTCATCCGTACCGCAAGTCAGCCTGGGCCTCTGGTTCGGCAAGAATCAGAGCACGTTGGCTCTCCATACCCTGTGTACGCTGCTTCAATAGCCGTCAGTGGTCAAACTAGTTCCCTCCTACCCTTCCCGCCCACCACACCACCCTCCCACCCGCCCCTCGCCCCTCCATCCTGTTCCCCCACCCACCTTGAGAATGACGCGCTTTGCGCTCGAGCATGGTGCGGTATTCTCGAGGGCGACAGCCGACGGTAATGACTTCACGGGCCCAGGAGTAGGTTACGCCGAGTAGAGAGGTAGTAGCAAGGGCTTTTTGTTTGGCGCGAAATCGTCTGGTTCGCAAAGTCGGTAGCTTGACGAATGGTGACGCTAGATACGCGCAAATGCGACGTTTCTATTATGCTAATTTAGCTTCCCACCATAGTCCCGTGTGACGTAAGTGGCGCTGCGTACCCAGTCTAGGCTCTGCCGTCCTTTCAAGAATTGATACATTCGTTGTTTGCGACCGCCATTACTTTACTACTCGCAGCGCTCTCAACCATTCGCGATATTGAGCGTCGTCCTAGAAAAGGCGAATTAGCACAAAGCAGTGGCGCGCGAGAGAAACCGGCATGCTTCGAACCAGCGTCAGTCAGACCGCTAGCATAGACTGGCCGAGAATCAAACACCGTTTTCCGTCCGCCAATCCGCGGCACTGGGTAGACTCGTGACGCCGCGGCTTCGGCGCCGTATGTCCCGGGAATGGCGGAAGAATTGGCAGAGGACGAGGAGAACGACGGGGATAAGAACGGAATACGACAGAATAAGATTAGAGGCGTCCCAATAATAGTAACAGAAGACGACAAGATTACGTTGACAGGTCCTGCTGGGTGAAACTTCGTTTTAGGCTATTCTAATTCCACTAACGCGATACTATTTGCGACCAGGTATTACTAGTTCTTAATAACGACATTGCGACGCCGGTGACTGCGGGAAAGGGGCTGGAAATAAGAAGCTGAATTGTCGTGCTAGGACCCGCAGCGAGCGAGCGTACAGGGAAACAGGTTAACTGTCACTTCAACGCAGCAGCGACAGTGAAAGCCAGAAGGTAACAGGAAAGAGGGGATACGAAGCGTAGTTTGTGCTGTGAAGAGGGTGCGAATTGCACAGCTCGGCTCGACGAGAGGCAGGGCTGTGAGGGAAGGCAGAGGGAGTAAGGGTTCCGATTCTGGCAGCGGCAGAGAGGGCAAAGAGAACACAGCCGCCTGCTAGTGCCGCAGCAGCAGCCGCGGTGGCGGCAGCAACAGCAGCAGGAGTGAGGAAGGAGTATACACAGCAGTAGGAGAGAGAGGAAGGGAGAGATCACAACAGCAGCAGCAGCAGCAGCAGCAGCAGCAGCAGCCGCAGCAGCAGCAGCATGAGTTGCTGGGCGCCGTTGGCGCGGCTGGGGGCGTGCGCGCCGAGCAACGGCATCGTGGCGTGTCTGAACGCGTGCGACGGCCCCACCATCGACTGCTACGACTCCTGCTACACCGACTTCGGCTGGCTCCCACCGCTCTCCACTGCTGAGCTCATCGCGTTCCCCATCTCCGCGTGCTGCCTGCTGGGCATGTCGCTCGTCATCTCCTGCATGATGTCGTCCACACTGGGGCTCGATATGGCGACGCTGCAGGTAACCAGTGCTGCTGGTAATCAGTGCTGTTACACAGTGCTGCCCCTCCCCTTCCCCTTCCCCTCCCACTCTCCTGCTTGATGTCGTCAACGCGCGGACTCGATATGGCGACTCTGCAGGTAACCCCAGTGCTTTCCTCCCCCCTCCCTTTTCCCAACACCCTCCCCACCTCCAGCTTACGTCCCACCTCCCCCACTCCCCCTCTCGAGCAGACGGGCATGCGTGGCGCTGTTGGGGTCCTCATAACCAACTGCATTCCCCACCCCCCCTCCTCGTTGCATGTTTTTTTTTTAATTCTCAAAAAAATCCCTGCAACGTCAGAGGCTCCTCATAACCACCTGTATTCCCAAACCACCCCCCTCCTCCCCCTTCCCCAACTCCCCCCCACGGCCCAATTAACCCACCTCGAGCAGGCGGCGGTGGTTGGCGTGGACGAGAGGCTGAGGTGACTGCTGAGTCGACTAAAAAGCCACCTCGCACCCACTTCTTCCCCCTTCCCCACACCCACCTCCGCCAACCCTGCCACAACCCCACCACCCAACCCTCACCCGCCCCTCCCGCGAGCATGCGGCAATGGATGGCGTGGACAGGAGGCTGAGGTGGCAGGCTGCCAAGGTGGCATTCTCTGAGGCGCCTCGGTGACCTACTTTTCTCTCCCTCCCACCCACCCCACCCCACTTCACCCCACCCCAACTCGACCAGGCGGCTATGGATGGCGTGGACGAGCGGCTGAGGTGACTGTTGGATGGATGGATGACTCAAAAGACACTCCTCACCCACCTCTCTCCCCTCCCCACCCCCTCCCCACTCGCTACACCTTCCCCCGCCCCAAACCTCGTCCCCCTCCCCTCCCCCCTCCTGCCTCGAGCAGGCGGCAATGGATGGCGTGGACGAGCGGCTGAGGTGGCAGGCTGCCAAGGTGGCAGCGCTGCGCACACGTGGCAGTCTGCTGCTCACCACGCTATTGGTCGCCAGCACCAGCGTCAACGTCAGCTTCACGCTCTTCGTCTCAGGTGGGACTTTGGTGGGGTCAGGTGGGGTCAGGTGGGTTCAGGTGGGCTCAAGGTGGGGCTCAGGTGGGCTCAAGGTGGGGCTCAAGTGGGCTCAGGTGGGGCTCAAGTGGGCTCAGGTGGGGCTCAGGTGAGGTCAGGAGGGTTCGGGTGTGGGCAGTGAAGGGCTTTGACCTCTGTATGCTGCTCATCCTCCTCTTGTATAGAAATAAATATATTCCTCCTCCCTGCTCCATTCTCCTCCTGGTGTTCATCCCAGGCGTGTTGGGCATGGTGATGGGATTCATCCTCTTCGTGCTCCTCATCCTGCTCTTCGTCGAAATCACCCCTCTCATGCACCTCACCCCATACCACTCTCCACCACTCCCCACCGCTCTTCCCTCCCGTTCCTCCCAGGCGTGTTGGGCATGCTGATGGGATTCGTTCTCTGCGTGCTCCTCATCCTGCTCTTCGTGGAAATCGCTCCCCTCACAGGGTGGTGTAACCCCCCTTCACCGCTCCCTACTCCTCTCCACCCCACCTTTCCAACACCCCAGGTGTGTTGGGCATGCTGATGGGATTCGTCCTCTGCGTGCTCCTCATCCTGCTCTTCGTCGAAATCGCTCCCCCAGCCATCTGTGCGCGCCACTCCCTGCGCATCGCCTCCGCCACAGCGTGGCTCGCCCGCCTGCTGCTGCTGCTGCTGTCTCCAGTGGCGTATCCAGTTAGCCTGCTGCTGGACCGATACCTCAACAACCAGGAAGATGAGGAGGAGAGCATCTTGCGGCGCGGTCTCCTGTGCGGGTGAGTGTGTGTGCTGTGTGTGAGAGGGAGAGCGAGAAGGAAAAAGAGAGAGTGAGGGAGAGGGGATAGGAGCCACACTCCCTCCGCACTGCCTCCCAACCTCCTTTCTCGCCCCCTCTCGTTCTCCCGACCCCACTGTCTGGTCCCACCACAGTGGTTCGAGCTGCACACAACCCTATTGCATGAAGCATGGCGGGTCAGCCGGCTCCTCTCCGCGCATCTACATCACCAACCCCCTCGCCAACCCGCCCTCCTCTTGTTTCACTTTCCCCCCTTCCTTGTTCCCTCTGTAGTGGCTCCAGCTGCTCGGATCCCTACTGCATGAAGCACGGCGGCTCACAAAGCTGCTCCCCTCCTTGACCCCCCTCTCTGGCTGCTACCCCCCATTCTCTCTCCCCGCACCACAGAGGCTCCAGCTGCATGGATCCCTACTGCATGAAGCACGGCGGCTCAGCCGGCTCCTCTCCGCGAATCTACATCACCAACCCCCTCGCCAACCCGCCCTCCCCCTTGTTTCATCCCCCCCAACCCCCTTGTTCCCACCACAGTGGTTCCAGCTGCGCGGATCCCTACTGCATGAAGCACGGTGGCTCAGCGGGCTCCTCGCCGCGAATCTACATCACCAACCCCCTCGCCAACCCACCCTCCCTCGAATTCCCCGACACCACCGCCTCTGCCCTCGACACTGGAAGTGCTGCCCCTGCCGCTCCTCCCGCTGCTTCTGCTGGTGGCGCTGCTGCTGGTGGCGCTGCTGCTGGTGCTGCAGCCATAGCCGTCGGCACAGCAGCAGCAGCAGCAGCAGCAGCAGCAGCAGCGGGTGGTTCTGCTGCTGCTGCAGCAGGAGTTGGAGCGCAGCCTACCTCTGCGTCCTTCTCATCCCGAGAAGCAGGGGGGGCTGGGGGGGAAACAGGCGAGCAGACGGAGCAGACGGAGGAGAGGGACGAGGAGGAGGAGGAAGAGGAGGAGAGTGCGGCGTTGTATTCAGAGGAGATGGATTCCAACACCCGCATGCACATGGCTGGATTCGGCGCCATGCCTCCCAGGTCAGTTCCTCCTCCTTGCCTCCAGCCAGGTCAGCTCTTCCTCCTTGCTCCCACCAGCCGAGGTCGGCTCTTCCTCCTTGCTCCCACCAGCCGAGGTCGGCTCTTCCTCCTTGCTCCCACCAGCCGAGGTCGGCTCTTCCTCCTTGCTCCCACCAGCCGAGGTCGGCTCTTCCTCCTTGCTCCCACCAGCCGAGGTCGGCTCTTCCCTGCCTCCTCCTCCTCCTCCTTGCCCCCAGCCAGGTCAGCTCTTTCTTGGTGTTGGAATTTCTCAGGAGCGACTCAGGTTAGGAAGCGGAGGAGGAGAGAGAGTGCAGGGTTGTGAGGCGTCTCATAGTTGTATTCAGAGGACATGGATTCCAACACTCGCATGCACATGGCTGGATTCGGCGCCATGCCTCCCAGGTCAGTTCCTCCCTGCCATGCCGCCCAGGTCAGTTCCTCCCTGCCATGCCGCCCAGGTCAGTTCCTCCCTGCCATGCCGCCCAGGTCAGTTCCTCCTTCTCGGGCTGCTGCTGCTGCTGGTGGTGTCCCCCCTTCCACCCCTGCTGCTGCCAGCACTGCTGGTGTTGGCCCCTCTACCCCCACTTCAGCTCCTTTCCTCACGTCTTCTCTACCCTCCCCTTTTTCCAGGTCCGGCCAGTATAATTCGAGTCGCTCCAAGCCCATCAGTGGCGGCACCGACTCTCCCCTCACTTCCACCTCTCTCCTTCTCCCCTCGCATCTTCCCTTACCCACCACCCATCCTCCAGGTCCGGCCCGTACGATTCAAGTCGCTCCAAGCCTGTCAGTGGCGGCAGCGACTCGCCCCTGCGACGCCGCATCGAGCAGGCACTGGTGGGGGGGAGAGCGGTGCAGTAGGAGAGAGCGGGGAGGAGGTGGTGATGGCGCTGCCTGTGGGGGAGAGTCAGGAGTATACGAGTGTGGAGGTCGGGGAGGAAGGGGAGGGGTACAGCACTCGGGAGGAGGAGAGTAGTGAGAAGGTGGGGAGGGGTGGGAGGAGTGGGAGAGGAGGGAGTGGGAGAGGAGGGAGTGGGAGAGGAGGGAGTGGGAGAGGAGGAGGGGAGGAGACGGCGGAGGAGTCGGATGAAGTGCCGATGGCACTGCCAACGTCTTCTGATGATGTTGATACGGAGTCAGACGACCAGAGGAGGAACCTTGGACGGGTGAGTTTAAGGTCTTGGACGGGTGAGTTACACTCATGTGGTTTTGAGTCGACTAGAACAACGGCAGAGGAGTCGGACGAAGTGCCGATGGCGCTGCCAACATCTGATGATGTTGATGTTGATACGGAGTCAGATGACCAGAGGAGGTACCTTGGACGGGTGAGTTACACACATGTGGTTTTGAGTCGACTCAAACGGCGGCAGGCAGAGGAGTGGGATGAAGTGCCGATGCTTTTGGACGGGTGAGTCACTTCTTACAATTCTCAAAACAGGAGTGGGATGAAGTGCCAATGGCACTGCCAACGTCGGATGATGTTGATGGCGAGTCGGATGATGTTGATGGCGAGCCGGATGATGTTGATGGCGAGTCGGATGATGTTGATGGCGAGTCGGATGATGTTGATGGCGAGTCGGATGATGTTGATGGCGAGTCGGATGATGTTGATGGCGAGTCGGATGATGTTGATGGCGAGTCGGATGATGTTGATGGCGAGTCGGATGATGTTGATGGCGAGTCAGATGATGTTGATGGCGAGTCAGATGATGTTGATGGCGAGTCAGATGATGTTGATGGCGAGTCAGACGGCCAGAGGAGGAACCTTGGACGGGTGAGTGACAGGCCTTGGAGGCTTGAGTTATAGAGAAGTGTTTAAGAACCATATGAGAGAGCAATGACAGTTGCTGGCTCCTCCAAAACTTGGAGGGGTGAGTTATAGGCGTTTTGTGACGATAACGACAATGCTTCACGCAAGTCACTCAGCTACTGCTTAAGTCATTCTCATTCTCATTCTCATTCTCATCTCCCTGCCTCCTTTGTTTCCCTACCAACAGACTCCGCCCCAGCTTCCTCCCCCTCCACCCACGCCCGCCACTCCTGCTGCTGATTCCCCTGCTGCTGCTGGTGTAGCAGCAGGGGTTGCAGTGGGAGCGGCGGCAGGAGCAGCAGCAGGGGGGTTGAGAAGCCGACCGGTGATGCATGAAACGATAGTTGAGATAGGGTCTGAAGGGGAGGGCGAGGAGGAGAGTGAGGATGAGAGGAGCGAGGGTGATGATGATGATGTTGTAGAAGCAGAGGCTTATAGCGGGGATAGTGGTGCTGTGCAATCAGGGGCAGCGGGAGGGGTAGCACCAGGAGCGGCAGGAGCACCAGCAGGAGGAGCAGGAGCCGCAGCAGCAGGAGGGGCAGCAGCAGGAGGAGCAGCAGTGGGGGGGGCAGTGGGTGGTTTTGCTGCCAGTGGTGCTTCTGCCAGTGGTGCTGCTGCTTCCACTTCAGCAGCGTTGACCCCACCACCTGCCATGGCAGCAGGAGCAGCGGAAGGAGCAGGCACAGCAGGAGCAGCAGAAGCAGGAGGAGGAGCGGCAGGAGCGGGAGGGATGAGTGTGGCTGAGGGATTCGCAGCAGCAGCCGCAGCTGTGGGTGCTTTCGCGCTCATGCCTTTCCGATGGGGACAGAAGCAGCCACAGCAAGAGCAGGAGCAGGAGAAGCAGCAGCAGCAGGAGAAGCAGCAGCAGCAGCAGCAGCAGCAGCAGGGCGAGAAGAAGGAACCGTCACCACCAGCATCCCCATCAGGGCGGATACAAGTGGTTGTGCACGGTACAGGGGGGCCAGGAGGGGTAGGAGGACCCAGCAGCAGCAGCGGTGGCAGCTGGAGAGACAACAGCAAGGATGCTGATAGCAAGGGGGACTCTTTGCCAGGAGGACCTATGGGTCCATCCCCCCTCCCTCCCCCACCCATTGACCCCCGCCTCTCCGCCCTTCCCCCTACCGCCCTCCCCCCTCCCCCTGGCCCCTCCGCCTCCCCCTCCTTCCCCCTCCGACCCACACCCGCGCCCGCTCCTGCTGCCTTCCCAATGTCCTCTGAAGCACCCTCCTTTCCCCTCCGGCCGATTCCTGCTGGTGCTGGTGCCGCTGCTGGTGCTGCTATAGCCAGTGGCAGCGGTAGTGGGGGTGGGGGAGAAGGGGCGGAGGAGGGGAGGAGCATGGGGTTTGAGAGGGACGAGTCTTGGGCCACGGCGCCTGAAGGGGGGAGGAGTGTGAGGTTTGGGAGGGATGAGTCATATGCAACAGCATATGATAGTGAAGGGGGTGATGGTGGTGGAGAGGGGGGTGAGGGTACCGGTGCTTCTGCCAGTGCTGCTGCAGCAGCAGGGGTGGCAGGGGTGGCAGGAGCGGCAGGGGCGGCAGGAGGAGGGGCAGGTTCGGCAAGTGGTTGGGGTTCGCGCCGTCCGCCGCTAGGCCCGGGAGCCGTAGGTTCGGCAGGCACGCCTGCGGCCTTGGCTCGGGGCCGGCCGACCAGTGCTAGCACCACTGCATCCCGGAGCTCTGCTGATTGGTCGAGCCCGGACGAGTCAGAGGTTGAGTCGAGAAATACCGACACTTTGTTAAGTGCTGAGAGGAGTGTTACTCCTAGCGGGGATAGGATGATGGGGGGTGCGGATGGAGGGGAAAGAGGCATGGGGGCAAATGATGCTTTGACTAGTGCAATCATGGCTTCGTCTATATCAGCTGCGGCTGCTGTTGAGATGGCACGGCAACGGCAGCAGCAGCAACGGCAGGAGGAGGAGGAGAGGCGGAAGCAGGAGGAGCAGGCAGGAGGCGGTTTGCGACAGGAAGGAGGGAGAGGCAGAGGAGGGGAGGGGGAGAGGGAGGGGAGTGAGAGAGAATGGTCGTTTGCATCGAGTGAGGAGGAGGAGGAGGAGGATGATGTTCCTGTAGGTGAAGTGTTGACGTCAGGGGAGCAAACGAGTGGTCAAATGCAGCAGCAGCAGCAGCAGCAGCAGCAGCAGCAAATGGGAGTTGTTGCAGCGGGTGGTGGTAGGAGGAGGAAGGAAGTGAGTTTTGACGAGGGGTTGTCGTCTGGCTCTGCTGTTTCGGCTGCGGTGGTTTCGTCGTCTGCTTCGGGTGTTTATGGTGGCGCGGGATGGGGGGATGGTGAGGGGAATAGCGGCGTTGTGACTGCTGAGGTTATTGAGGAGGAGACTGAAGAGGAGGAGGATGAAGAGGAGGAGGATGAGGAGGAGGAGGATGAAGAGGAGGATGAGGAGGAGGAGGAGGATGAGGAGGAGGATGAGGAGGAGGAGGAAGAAGAGGAGGAGGATGAGGAGGAAGAGGAGGAAGAAGAGGAGGATGAGGATGAGGAGGAGGAAGAGGAAGAAGAGGAGGATGAGGAGGAAGAGGAGGAAGAAGAGGAGGATGAGGAGGAGGAAGAGGAAGAACAGGAGGAAGAGGATGAGGAGGAGTATACAGAGACAGAGGAGGGTACAGAAGAAGTTACGGAGGAGGTAACTGGGACAGAGGAGGTTACAGGGACCGAAGAAGTGACAGGGACGGAGGAGGTCACAGGGACAGAAGAGGTCACAGGGACAGAAGAAACGACGAAGGATTACGAGGAGGAAGAAGAGGAGGAGGAGGAGGAGGAGGAAGAGGAGGAGGAAGAGGAGGAAGAGGAGGAGGAAGAGGAGGAGGAGGAGGGAACAGAAGTCACTGAAATGACAGAGGATTATGAGGAGGAAGGCGAGGGAGAGGATGATGAGGAGGAGGAAGAGGAAGAGGAAGGGGAGGAGGAGGAGGAGGAGGAGGGAACAGAAGTCACTGAAGTGACAGAGGATTATGAGGAGGAAGGCGAGGGAGAGGAGGAAGAGGAGGAGGAGGGGACTGAGGAAACGGAAATGACTGAGGAATATGAGGAGGAAGAGGAAGAGGAGGAAGAAGAGGGGACGGAAGTGACTGAGGATTATGAGGAGGAAGAGGAAGAGGAGGAAGAGACAGTGGAGGGAACAGAGGAGGAAATAACCCAAGAGACAGAAGAGGAGGAATATGAGGAGGAGGAGGAGGAGGAGGAGGAGGAGGAGGAGGAGGAGGAGGAGGAGGAGGAGGAGGAGGAGGAGGAGGAGGAGGAGGAGGAGGAGGAGGAGGAGGAGGAAGAGGAGGAAGAGGAGGAGGGAGAGGAGGAAGGGTATGGGACCGAAGAAGCGACAGAGGAAGGAACGGAGGTGACAGAAGAAGAGGTGACAGGGGAAGAGGTAACAGAAGAGGAGGTGACAGGGGAGGAGGTGACAGAAGAGGAGGTGACAGAAGAGGAGGTGACAGAAGAAGTGACAGGGGAAGAGGTGACTGAAGGGGAAGTGACTGAAGAGACAGAAGTGACTGAAGGAACAGGGGAGGGGGAGGAGGAGGAGGAAGAAGAGGAGGAGGAGGAGGAGGAAGAGGAGGAGGAGGAGGAGGAAGAGGAGGAGGACGAAGAAGAGGAGGAGGAAGGGACAGAAGAGGATCAAGGGGCGTCATACTATGGTGGGGAGGAGGAAGGGGGCGAGGGGGAGGTGACGGTTCACACTATAGGCGAGGAGCAAACGATTGATGATGATGTTACCTCTATGACTGAATCCCAACTTGCCTTGTATGATGAAGTGGGTCAGATGGTAACGGAGACAGAAGGAGAGACGGAGGAGAGTGAGGGGAGCTATGATGGGGTTCCAGGTGCTGGGGAGGGTGGGGAGGGGTGGGTGGGAGAGGGAGAGACGGAGGAGGAGACGGAGGGAGAGGAGGAAGAGGAAGAAACAGAGGAGGGGACAGAGGGGGAAGGGGAGGAAGAGGAGGAGGAGGAAGAGGAAGAAACAGAGGAGGGGACAGAAGGGGAAGGGGGGGAAGAGGAGGAAGAGGAAGAAACAGAGGGAACAGAGGGGGAAGGGGAGGAAGAGGAGGGGGAAGAAGAGGAAGAAACAGAGGAGGGAACAGAGGGGGAAGGGGAAGAAGAGGACGAGGAGGAAGAGGAAGAAACAGAGGAGGGAACGGATGGGGAAGGGGAGGAAGAGGACGAGGAGGAAGAGGAAGAAACAGAGGAGGGAACAGAAGGTGAAGGGGAGGAAGAGGAAGAAGAGGAGGAAGTGACAGAGGAGGAAGGGGAGGAAGAGGAAGAAGAGGAGGAAGTGACAGAGGAGGAAGAGGAGGAAGAGGAGGAGGAGGAGGAGGAGGAGGAGGAGGAGGAGGAGGAGGAGGAGGAGGAGGAGGAGGAGGAGGAGGAGGAGGAGGAGGAGGAGGAGGAGGAGGAGGAGGAGGAAGAGGAGGAAGAGGAGGAAGAGGAAGAGGACGAGGAAGAAGAGGAGGACGAGGAGGAGGATGGATCAATAAGTGTGGTGCCCCTGAAGGAAGAGAGTAGCAGAGAGCAGGACACAGGCGAGGGAGGAGAACAGGGCTCGTCACAAGAAGAGACAGAGGGAGAGACAGAGGGAGAGACGGAGGGAGAGACGGAGGCAGAGGGAAGCAGCACAGAGGGAGAGGAGGGAGGAGGGAGAGAGGCGGGGTACGCTGCGATCGCAGCAGCAGCAGCGGTGGTGGCGGCGGCAGGCGGTGGGGCCTCTGCTGCTGCTATTCGCATGCAGCAAGCAGGGAGTTTCAACCGCGAGATGGGAGCTGGCGGTGCTGCTGGTGATGGCGGGGGTATGTGGGGTGGGAGCAGGCGGGGCAGCAGGCAGAACACAAACGAATGGCCTGCCCCTCAGTCGGTCCAACAGCAGCAGGGGAGCAGAGCAGGCAGTAGGCAGAACACCCAAGAGTGGCCCACTCCTCAGTCGGTCCAACAGCATCAACAGCAGCAGGGGAGCAGAGCAGGCAGCAGGCAAAACACTCAAGAATGGCCAGCTCCTGTGCCGGCTCAGCCGCAGCCGCAGGGGAGCAGGCAGGGCAGCAGGCAGAACACTCAAGAGTGGCCCACACCCGCTTCAATCCAGAAGCAGCAGCAGGCGGGTAGCAGACCCAGCAGCCGACCAGGCAGCAGGCAGAACACCCAAGAATGGCCGTCTTTGCACCAAACAGGAGGCGCAGGAGCAGGAGGAGGGGCGGTGGTTATGCCACTAGAAGCCCCGTCCGTGCCTCTGAGACACATTGACTCTTCCGCGCGGCTGGCCACTGGGAGCACGGAGCAGAGCGATCCGAACTGGCGCGCGCACCTGCGGCCGGCAGGCCCGCCGGCTAGCAGTCAGCCGGAGAGCAACAGCCGGCAGAACACAGTTGACTGGAAGGCAGCGCTAAGACCCGCTGGGGAGAGAGGGGTTGGGCCTAGCCCACGGGCCAGCCCACATGTTAGTCCCCACCCGAGCAGACATGCGAGTCCCCACCCTAGCCGGCATGCTAGTCCGCATACCAGTAGGGTTAATACTAAGGAGTGGCCGGGAGGGAGTGGGGTGAATGGTCATAGTAGTAGCAGAGCTGAGCCTGATCCTGAGGGTGTTGCCGCTGCTGCTGCAGGTGTGGGTGTTGCTGCGGGTGCTGGTAATGGTGCAGACGGTGCGGGGGGGTTGAATGCGATACAGCAGCGGATTCTGGAGTGGCAGCAAGCTGCAGGTTCGTCCACTCCCCACACGCCCCGCAGTTCAGGGGGCTCGCAGGGGAATTCCCAAGGCAACTCCCAAGGCGACTCCCGAGGCAATTCCCGAGGCAACTCGCCAGGTTTGGAAGGGCTGGATCGGGGTAGCAGCGGGAGGCTGAGCAGGAGCGGCAGCAGTGCGAGTGGGTACACTGAAGGGGATAACGAGGAAGATAATGAAGAGGATAATGGTGGGGACGGGGATGGGGCGAGTGTTGCAAGTGGGGCCAGTATCGGCAGCAGCGGCAGGGGCAGCAGCAAAAGGAGTGGCTTCAGTGGGAGGTATGAGGGGAGTTATTTGGATTTGAGTGACCACAGCTCAGGATACCTGCCTTACCGATCCTCTCCTTTGCCTCGGGTAAAAGCCGAGCCTCAAAAGTTGGCTCCAGGTCCGGCGTTGTACGGTGGGTTTTCTTGGCTCGACGCCGGGTCGAGGAGCCAAAAAGGAGGGACAAGTTCTGCGAGCGGTGCAGGTCCGGCGGCAGGTTCGGGTGCAGGCGCTGCAGATTCGGGAAATGCAGGTTCGGGTGAGGGGCGAGAAGGGAGCGCGGGAGTGGGGGGTGGTGGACACAGGGAGGCTGAAGATGGAAAGGGAGATGGAGTGAGAGGGGGGGAAGGGCACAACAGGCATGGGCGCCCGGACCTTGTTCCGGAGCTGAGCCTCGAGCCGAGGCTAGAGGCTCGGGAGGAGCAAGAAGGGGGTAGAGGGATTGGGGAAGGAGGTGTGCAAGGAGAGAGCTGGAGAAGCCATGGAACAGAAGTAACTGGTGAGACTGGTGAGGGGGAAGAGGAGGAGAGTGAGGAGGGGAGTGAGGAGGGGAGTGAGGAGGGAACAGAGGAAGTGACAGAAGAAGTGACAGAGGAAGGGAGTGAGGAGGGGAGTGAGGAGGAGGGAACAGAGGAAGTGACAGAGGAAGTGACAGAGGAAGGGAGTGAGGAGGGAAGTGAGGAGGAGGGAACAGAGGAAGTGACAGAGGAAGGGAGTGAGGAGGTGACTGGGGAGGCAGAAGAGACAGAGGGAGAGACAGAAGGAGAAACAGAGGGAGAAACAGAGGGAGAAACAGAAGAGGAAACCGAGGAAACGGAAGGCACTGGGGAAACAGAGGAAACAGGTATGACTGGCGAGACAGAAGAAACTGGGGAAGAGGAGGAAGAGGAAGAGGAGGAAGAGGAGGAGGAAGAGGAGGAGGAAGAGGAGGAAGAGGAGGAGGAGGATGAGGAGGAAGAGGAGGAGGATGAGGAGGACGAGGAGGAGGAGGAAGAAGAGGAAGAGGAAGAAGAGGAAGAAACAGAGGAGGGAACCGAGGGGGAAGGGGAGGAAGAGGAAGAGGAAGAGGAGGAAGAGGAAGAGGAGGAAGAGGAGGAGGAAGAAGAGGAGGACAGCGTAGATCAGTTCAACACACACAGCGCCCTCCCACCCTTATACAGACACCAGCAGCAGCAGCAGCATCACCAGCAGCAGCAGTCCCACCACCCTCCTCTGCACCCCAGTCTCAAGACCCACACCAGCACTGCCACTGGCCCCTCTGCCTTCCCTCCCCGCACCTCCGGCCGCAGCAGCCGGCAGGTTTCCTTCCAGGAGGACGTTCAGCCGGCAGCTAGCCGGCTAGCCGGCAGTTCTGGCGCCACTGGGAGTGGGGCGTATGGGAGCGGGAGCTTCGGAGGGAGGTTAGGGAGCGGGAACTACGGGGGCGGTGGTGTGGGAGGGGGAGGGGATTATGGGGGGAGGCTGGGGAGGAGTAATCTTGGGGGGGAGCAAGGGAGTGGGAATTATAGGGGAGAGGAGGCGTATGGGAGTGGGAATTACGGGAGTGAAGCGTATGGGAGTGGGAATTATGCCAAGGGGCATGCGTTGGGTAGTGGGAACTATGGGAGTGAGGGGTACGGCAGCAGTGCATATGGCGGGTGTGGTAACCACGGCGCGATGTTACATGGCGCTGGGGGGAGTGGGCTGGGCGGCAGACTAGGAAGTGGGGGCGGCTTGGGAAGCAGGCTAGGAAGTGGGGGGATGAGTGGAGGGCTTGGGAGTGGGAATATGGGGAGTGGGAATATGGGGAGTGGGAATATGGGGAGTCAGGTCAGTGGGAGTGGGAATTACGGGGGGAAATTAGCCCCTGTGCGGTCTCCTAGTGACAGCGGCCAGAGTGAAGGGCAAAGGGAGGGAGAGAGCGGAGGAGAGGGAGGAGGAGGAGTGGGAGGAGGAGGAGTGGGAGGAGGAGTGGGGGGAGAGAGAGGAGGGACGGGAGTGGGAGGGCCAGTTTGGGAGACGGACGAGGAGCGGAGTCAACCAGCTAGCATGGAGAGACGGGAGGAGGGGCAAAGTATGAGACAAGAGGAGGATCGAAGCATGGGTGAGTGGCATGACTGGATAGTGGTGGTGGTGTGATGGGGTGGGGTGGGTGCAGTATAGATGGGTGGCATGTGGGTGAGTGACATGACTGGGGGATGGTGATGGTGTGGTGGGGTGAGGTGGGTGGGTGGGTGCAGTATGGATGGATGTGCATGACAGCTGAAGGTAACATGCTGGCTCATGGATGGCTCATGAGATGGTCATGGCTGATGGGAGGGTGATGGTAGCTCTAGGTGTGTGGATATTATCCTCCCATGGCTGGATAGTGGCATGGCTCATGTCGGGGAAGGGGCATGGCTCATGTGGGGGGAACGGGCAATGGCTCATGGGGAGGGTCATAGTGCTGACTTCAACGCGTGTTTTTTTCCGCACTTGTCCATCTAGGCGACATGTAGCCACCAGCTGTATGTATAAAGTGAATTTTAGAGACGTCTCAAAAATTCACTTGTCCATCTAGGCGACATGTGGCCACCAGCTGTCGCTCTCTCTTCCTCGTCCTCACATCCCTTTTGAGACGTCTCTGATTTCTCTCTCTCTCCCCTCCTCCCTCCCTCCCCCCCTGTTCCTGTCTCCCATGCCCAGAGGCAGCAGAGGCCCGAGCACCACCGCCAGCAGCACAGGAACCAACGAGTGCAGCTGACGCATCTGCATCGCCCCCCAAGTCAGCAAAGAAAGGAGGATGGCTGGAGAACCTCTGGGGCAAGTAGCATTAGCAGTGCTAGAAGCTGAAAGGTGGGGGGAAGCAGGAGGGGGAGGGGGGTGGGGGAAGGGGGAGAGAGCAGGGAATAATGGGCTGCTTTTTGGGCAGCCTGCCGGCCTGCCGGCCTACCACGGCTGAAGCGCATCGCCATTCGTGAAGCAACATGGGAGTACCCACTACAACAACCACCAGCATCACCACCACCGCCACTACCACCAGCAGCCGCACCAGCAGCATTCTGGTTTGAAGCATGATGATGTGATGACGCATCAATCATGAATGAGTGCAGCAGCCCTGTTAGCTCTTCAGCGCTGCTAAAAACACATTCAATGCAACTAACTCTTTTGTTTACGTGCTGGCTGGGGTGACAGCAGTTTCACCTAGGATACTGTAGGAACTAACTAACTCGTGCTCTAATTTCTTATCGTTTGTATCCTTTGTTTGATAATGACTTAACCCAAGTAGGGTCCTTCACCCAGAAAAAAAGGACCATTTTTAGCTGATGGCGAAGCCTAGCCAGATGAAGTGTTTCGGGAGAGGACGGGAGTCCTGAATACTCTACACCTAATGTCATGTTGTGGTACTGTACTGAACTGTGTGCACTGCCAGCAACACTGACTTTATTAGGGAAGGGATCCTTTCCAGAAACAAATTGAATTGTAACCATACTTCGCAAGAAATATTGAAAGAATGTAGCGATCACGTTACGAGGTGGTGTAGTAGCCACTGCTGCTGGTGCTGCTGCCACCAGGGGGGAGACAGATGAGTCAACATACGTCTTGATCTCGCACCCCTTGTGCCCCAAAGCAACCCCTTTGTTCTTGTCCCTGCCCCTTCCCCTGCCGCTTTATTCCAGGGCTTTGCCCTAGGTACGGTCCCAGCCTGCCCCTCTGGTTTGGCAGGCGCAGGTGCGGCAGGAGTGGCTGTTGCTGTGGTTGGAGGGTTGGCCCCGATAACTCCGCGGCACCGCTCTGCACCGCACTGGCAAGCTTTGTTCGGGCCGAAGCTCACAAATCTGTGTGAACAGCGCAAGAGTGTTCGATGAGGAATGGGGTGAGAGGTGAGAAAAGGTGTGAACTTTTGAGTCGACTCAAAAGTCGACTCAAGAGTCGACTTAAAAGAAGCTCACAAATCTGTGTGAACCCCGCAAGAGTGCTCAAGGGGGAATGGGGTGAGAGAGGTGAGAAAAGGTGTGAATGACTCCTCATGAAAACATTGACCTTGGAGGATTCTCAGATTCTCATGCAAACATTGACCTTTGAGGATTCTCAGATTCTCATGGAAACATTGACCTTTGAGGATTCTCAGATTCTCATGCAAACATTGACCTTTGAGGATTCTCAGATTCTCATGGAAACATTGACCTTTGAGGATTCTCAGATTCTCATGGAAACATTGACCTTTGAGGATTCTCAGATTCTCATGGAAACATTGACCTTTGAGGATTCTCAAATTCTCATGGAAACATTGACCTTTGAGGATTCTCGAATTCTCATGGAAACATTGACCTTTGAGGATTCTCGAATTCTCATGGAAACATTGACCTTTGAGGATTCTCAAATTCTCATGGAAACATTGACCTTTGAGGATTCTCAAATTCTCATGGAAACATTGACCTTTGAGGATTCTCAGATTCTCATGGAAACATTGACCTTTGAGGATTCTCAGATTCTCATGGAAACATTGACCTTTGAGGATTCTCAGATTCTCATGGAAACATTGACCTTTGAGGATTCTCAGATTCTCATGGAAACATTGACCTTTGAGGATTCTCAAATTCTCATGGAAACATTGACCTTTGAGGATTCTCAAATTCTCATGGAAACATTGACCTTTGAGGATTCTCAAATTCTCATGGAAACATTGACCTTTGAGGATTCTCGAATTCTCATGGAAACATTGACCTTTGAGGATTCTCGAATTCTCATGGAAACATTGACCTTTGAGGATTCTCGAATTCTCATGGAAACATTGACCTTTGAGGATTCTCGAATTCTCATGGAAACATTGACCTTTGAGGATTCTCAAATTCTCATGGAAACATTGACCTTTGAGGATTCTCGAATTCTCATGGAAACATTGACCTTTGAGGATTCTCAAATTCTCATGGAAACATTGACCTTTGAGGATTCTCGAATTCTCATGGAAACATTGACTTTTGAGGATTCTCAAATTCTCATGGAAACATTGACTTTTGAGGATTCTCACAAGTGATGCCCAAAAAGCTGTGCGAGCACTGTTAGAGTGCTCAAGGGGGAATGCATTTGAGTGTCGACTCAAAAGCACTGTTAGAGTGCTCAAGGGGGAATGCATTTGAGTGTCGACTCAAAAGCACTGTTAGAGTGCTCAAGGGGGAATGCATTTGAGTGTCGACTCAAAAGCACTGTTAGAGTGCTCAAGGGGGAATGCATTTGAGTGTCGACTCAAAAGCACTGTTAGAGTGCTCAAGGGGGAATGCATTTGAGTGTCGACTCAAAAGCACTGTTAGAGTGCTCAAGGGGGAATGCATTTGAGTGTCGACTCAAAAGCACTGTTAGAGTGCTCAAGGGGGAATGCATTTGAGTGTCGACTCAAAAGCACTGTTAGAGTGCTCAAGGGGGAATGCATTTGAGTGTCGACTCAAAAGCACTGTTAGAGTGCTCAAGGGGGAATGCATTTCAGTGTCGACTCAAAAGCACTGTTAGAGTGCTCAAGGGGGAATGGGATGAGAGGCGGGAACATACTGTATGAAGGTGTGAGCATGGCTTCTCACAGATTGATGTTTGAATACCAGCATCCCAACCACCCGCCCACCAACCCACCCAGCCACCCAATCACAGCACCTGTAATCATACACCACTTCTGTGCCCACCTGTGCCCACTGCAATGTCCTTGATGGCGAAAATGCCCACCCGCACATGCCCCTCCACTCACTCGCACCCACTCACTCGCACGCACCCACCTACCTGCCCACCCACCTGCCCACCCAAACAGCCAGCCAGCCACCCACCCACCCACCCAGCCACCCAATCACAGCACCTGTAATCATACGCCACTTCTGTGCCCACTGCAATGTCCTTGATGGCGAAAATGCCCACCCGCACATGCCCCTCCACTAGCCTGGATGGGAGAGGTAGAGACGGGAAACATGCCTAGTTTTGAGTCGACTCAAAAAATGCCCACCCGCACATGCCCCTCCACTAGCCTGGACGGGGAAGACACGTGCAAACATGCATGCAGACGTGAAAGTAGGCAGAGTTGCTTCTAAATGGCAGAAATTGCCCGCTTGTACATGCCCTGGAGATGGGTGGGCAGTATGCAGGGTTGGTCCTGGCTGGCAAAAATGCCCACTCTCGCATGCCCCGTTACCAGCCAGAACAGGGGAGACCAAGAGGACAGAAGCCAAGAGGACAGAAGCCAAGAGGACAGAAGCCAAGAGGACAGAGGGCTTATAAATTCTCTCACCACTCGTCTGTATCTCACTCTGCCTATTCTCCACCATTCTCCTCTCTCTCACCATTTCTGCAGCTCGGCGTTGGGAGCGCAGCTGTGGTTGACAATGCTTTCCAGTGAACTCAAGGCACTCCATCACACCAGTATTCTGGATTCTCTCATCACAAGTCTGCTCTCTCTCTCTCACCACTTCTGCAGCTCGGCGTTGGGAGCGCAGCTGTGGTTGACGAAGCGGCCGTGCCCCCCACGGAAGGTGGCATCAATGACCACGTCGCGGCTCACTTCACACATGTAGAAATCCGTCGCTCCCCCTGCCCGCATGGCCCATAATCGTGCCTCACACATCGCATCGTCAATCACTGTGGGAGGAGGAAGAACAGGAAGGTTCTTAGATGCCTAAGAAAATGGCGTCTCACACATAAGTGTGGGAGGGAGGAGGGAGGCTGAGAAGAGAAGGGAGTGTGGGTGCATGTTCACACAGGTGGAGGACCATAATATGCTTTAACAAGGTGGGACCCATCTTTCCCAAACCATCCGAAACACCTTCACCCCTCTCAACCCACCTTTACCAGCTCTTGACCCATCTTCACCCCCCTCAACCCACCTTCACCGGCGTATTCAACGATGAACTCGCCCGCCTTGATGGGCTCTGCTGCCATGGCTCCCCACCCACAGCGCTGTGTCTGGCGTGCGGTGGAGGCGCGGTTTATTGCATGGGGGGATGACGGAAGAGCGGGGGAGGAGGGGGGGGGTGGGGAGGGGAGAGCGAGGGTGGGGAGTGGGGGGGTGGGAGAATGGGTGTAGGAGGGGGGCTGGGACGTTTGGGATGGTGAAGGGGTGGTGGGGTATGCGACTCAATGGTGGGACGCAGTTGAAGGGGGTGGTGGGGCATAGAGAGCACCATTTTCCGAAACGCCCAGGATAGAACATGTCTGAAAACGAAGGAGTTGAAGAGAAAGGAGCTGCCACTCACTTGCACGATATCAAGCCTCTTTGGGCGACTCTCAAAAGTCGCACTCATATAGCTGCCACTCACTTGCACGATATCAAGCCTCTTTGGGCGACTGAAGGGCCTGTTGCAGCACCCCCCGTGGCACCCACAGCGATTGGTGCAGCTCAGGTATTGCGCCCTGCCATGGCCAGACAAGGCAAGGCTCACCCAGCCGAAGTGGAATAGAACGAAGCGAAGTGGAATAGAACGAAGCGAAATCAAATGAAGCGAGACGCGACAAAGTGCAATGAAATGAATTGAGATGAGTGAACTGGAAAATGACTGAAATGAGACGCATAAGAGACGGTGTTGGACTCACCGGCACATGCAGTCGTCCCCACACGCGGTGTTGCTCCCCCCTTTACAATCGCACCCCATGTCCTCGTCATCCATCACTGGCGGAGGCCGCAGGTGTATGTCTAAATGGGAAGGGGGCGGGGAAAACTTCGTAAGATGGAAAGATGGCAGCAGGGAAGAGCGGAGGGCGCATGCGCATTTTTTGTCTGCATGGCAGGGAGATGAACGGATGATTTTTGGGAGGTAAGGCGTGTAATCACAGCATGTGTCACGTCATGGTCCTCCCTCGACCACTTGTGTCACTTTAAGAGTTTTCAAGATTCCTCCATAGAACTTGTCACTTGAGAGTTGATGTGTAATGTCACATGCCACGCGTCATGCCACTCTCAAAAAGATGCACAACTTCCTGTTGCAGCGCTCACTAGAATTGATGTGTATGTATCGCGGCATTAACTGCTGAACTGCAGGCAGTGCAGAGCCCTCGTCCCTCTCCTCCAGATCCACCGAGAGGGGAATGGTAGGGGGTCATTCTCTCACTCACTCTCCTCACTCACTCCCCTCACTCACTCGAGTTGATGTGTATGTATCGCGGCTTCAGCTGCTGGTTTGCAGCTGGTAGGGTCCCATCGTCCCGCTCCTCCATATCCACAGAGAGGGGAATAGCGGGGGGCAGGCGAAAATCCACTGCCACGTGGGGCAGGGGCAGCGCGCACATGCCTTGCTGCAGACAGGGGAAGCGGGGAAAGAGAGGGGGAGAGGAATGGGGAGAGGAAGGGGGGAGAGAGAGGGGGATATGGCGGGAGGCAGGCGGAAGTCCACTGCAACGTGGGGCAGGGGCAGCGCGCACATGCCTTGCTGCAGACAGGGGAAGCGGGGAAAGAGAGGGGGGGGGGGGGGGGGGGGGAGGGGGACGGGGGGAGAAGATTGACCTACACACACACATATGTATGTAAACATCTACATGCAGACAGGGGGATAAGAAGGGATACAGAGAAGCATGGAAGGAGGGAACCAGGGGTAGAGGAAACGCAGATTGGCAAGGGGATGGAGGAGCAAGGCGGATGCGGCTCACCTGTGCAGTTTGCACGGGCTCACAGTACTGTTGGCAGGGCAGGGGACATGCACACATCCGCAATGCACATGCAGCAGGAACAACACGCATACATGCATGCAGACATGCATACTCGCACAGGCACACACATATGCACACAAATGCACGTGCAGAGAAACAAGGGAAAGAGCAAAGAGGGAGAGTGGGTGGTGAGTGAGGCTGCATGGGCGTGTGAGAGGAAGGGGCGCTGGATATGCTGGGAAAGGCATGTGACACGCACGGCATTTGAGTTGAGAGGCATTGGCAGCAGCAGCATTCTGCTGACAAGAACTTGAGAGAGGGAGGACAGAACACGATGTAGCACGGGCTGGCAGGCAGAACGACCGCAATTGCAACGAATAATGGACGGCCCACAGCCTGGGACGCACGAATAATGGACGGCCCACAGCCTGAGACGCACCCAGTTGAGAATTGAAGGAGTGGGCAGGCAGGGCAGCGTGGATCTCTCTTCCAGCAGGCTGCAGAAATGACACGAGTCCTTGCTGCTGCAACTGCTGCTGCCATGAATGTCACCACCACCACCACCGCCGCCACCACCACCACCACTCTTGCCGCCAGTGCTGCCATTGGTAGTACCACCAGCATCACCATACTCAGTATCTTTACCACTAACCTTACCACCTTCTTTACTACCACCAGCATTGCCACCGGCGCTGCCGCCACCACCGCTGCTGCTATTGCTGCTACTGAAGTTGCTGGTGATCGCTTGCTCCTTCTGGTTGCCAACCTTGCTGCCGCTGTCCAACCCACCGTCGCTCCCACCAACCCCGTTGTCGTTTCCACCACCACCGTCGCCGTTACCACTGCCACCGCCCCCACTACTACCGCCACCACCCCCACCACTACCGCTACCGCCGATTTCATTGCCAATGGTGGCAGCAGTGGCTGCAGCGGCTGTGATGGGAACAGTGGCAGCAGTGGCGGCGGTGGCAGTGGCGGCTGCGTTAACAGCTGTAACGGCAGCAGCGGCTGTGTTGGACAGGGAGGAGGACGAGGAAGAAGAGGAGGGCGAGGGGAAGAGCTTGTGGTGCATGCAGTGCAGCCCGTAGGAGGTCCAGGAGAGCCCCATCTGTGGCTTGGCACAGCGGTGGTGCAGCAGGTTCACACACCCCGGCTCACAGCACCTCTCCACGTCCTCATAGACTCGGCACAGACACAGGCACACCATGCAGCGCGCCTGCCGTGCAAAGGACAAGCAAGGGGTATGGGGGGGAGGCAGGCATGGAGTGAGGAGGGTAGTGAGGAGTGGGAACGGAGGGGAAGAGCTTGTGGTGCATGCATTGCAGCCCGTGGGAGGTCCATGAGAGCCCCATCTGTGGCTTTGCGCAGCGGTGGTGCAGCAGGTTCACGCACCCCGGCTCACAGCACCTCTCCACGTCCTCATAGACTCAGCACAGACACAGACACACCATGCAGCGCGCCTGGAAACACAAAGATGGTGTGGGAAACAGAATGTATGGCTTGAGGGTTCAGAGCACCGCTTTACGTCCTCGTACACACGGCAGAGGCACAGACACACCATGCAACGCGCCTGGGGTGGAAGCATACGCACGAGGGATGGGGTGGGGGGAACGTATGGCCTTGAGGGTTCAGGTCACCACGTCCTCATAGACTCGGCACAGGCACAGACACACCATGCAGCGCGCCTGGGGTGCAAGCACACGGATGGGGGAGATGGGGAGGATGATGTTATTGAGAGTTCAGTTCAGCTCATCCCGATCTGTTACATGCGGCAGCGATAAGCCATGTGGAGCGCCTGAGATCCAAGCACAGGGGATGGGAAGGACATCTTTCAGAAATCACTTCACCACATCCTAGGTGAATCGATTATACGGCACAGGGGGTGAAAAGGATACTATAGAGAGTTCAGTTCACCACAACCTCATTCATATACGCCATAGATAAGCATTGCAGAGTACCTGTGGTGGAAGTACGAGGAATCTACAATGCCAGAGACATGGCGTATGTTTCCTGAGTAGCTGCAGATACGTGCTCTGTAAAATCCAGGGATTGGTCCAATGTTTCACCCCGGGCGTTGCTTTATGCTACATTGCATCACTGCGCTGTCTAATTCGCCATAAAACGTGAAAGTTCACCAATGCTGCACTGAATGAATAATGCCCGAAGCCCTGGATTCATTGCTGATCCATAATGAAATCCTTCCTGATTTTGTACCGCAAAACCGTTGCGCCTTTTCCTTTTCTTTTCTTTTCGTTCACATTCGATATTGTCGATGTGCCATAAGTCACGTACTGAGTGAATGGTGCAGTCGCGGCATCGCATTATTCGTCGATCCATCGGCGGTCCCGACTCCAAGCACGCGCGGCAGCTGCACCGACGTTTCAGCAACACGCGCCGTCCGCACCACCGGCACTCCGCGCGGTCCCTCTGCGCGGACGGCGGCTCCCGCCGCTTCTGCGGAAGACCCGCGGAAGATCCCCCGCGCGCGGAAGGACCTGCGCCTGCGCCACCCCCCGCTTCGCGCAGATTCCACTCGCCGTCCGGCGAGGCAGCTTCCGTGCACGCGGAGGAGCTTAGGCATGAGGAATGGCCGCTACTGTGACGATCTGGATGGCTGGCCGCGCAGCACGGCGTGGAAGGCGGCACGTCCATGGGTAACGTGATAACGCTGATGAGGATCGAGACTAGAATAGGACCTAGGGTTTCAGATCGCGGATTTCTCCTTTTGGAACAATGCTGGGAAGCGCGGGGGGAATCTGCATTTTAGGGTACGACGATCGATCCTCGTCTAGGACTTCACCATCACACGCAAGCCGAGAATCAGTGCGGGACCACACGACCTAACACTCAGCCGACCTAAAATTACCAGGAAACCCAACAGGACATTGAACGATCCTAAAACTGGACAAAACTGGTTCAACTACAGTCTGAATGAACTGATCTCAATGAAGGCGCTGGTTGGAGTTCCCAAGAAAACAAGGAAATCTCAGTGGTGGGTCCTCCTGAATCCTGATGAGCAAGGTTGATGAGGTTGGTTGGGAACTTGGGTTTGGGCTTGGATAAGTTGGGCTGCTGGAAAAAGGCGGTGGGGAGGAGGTCAGGTCAATTGAGGACGCGGCACATGTTCTCATTTTGCCAGGATCGGGGAAGGATCGAGACCTCACATCGATCCTGGCACATCGATCGGCACACCGATGTGCCCGCACTGCAAATTTGCAGTGGGGTAGACACATCGAACTACAGGTGCCAGGTTCGAAATTGCAGGGTCGGGCAGGTTGGAGCTGCGTCAGAACAGCAACACACTGAAACGCACAGCCAATCAGGGCAGAGCGTGGTTGGTCGCCCAGCAATTTCATTCGCAGCGACTCAAAGAATTTTTTGCCTGCGACCGTGGACGACGCCGATCGATCGCGGCTGTCACCTGTGGCGCGATGTGCTCTCCCGCCAAACCAAACGCACGATCGATGTGTGCACCACGGCACATCGATCATGCGAGCTGCAGGTGCCACCATTTTGGGTACCCGTTTACTGTACACTTTCGACGTCCTGCGAAGAACGGATACCAGGCATTGGCGACGTCGCCAATACATTGTACAAGCGGCACATCGATCCCCTCCCACGATCGATCCTGGCAAATTGAAATTTGGTGCCGCGTCCTCGTCCTCAGGTGAGTAGAAGCCGAACCGGCCGGGGCCGAACCGAGCCGAGATTTACGTCCGGAAGGCAAGTCCAGATCATATGTTCAGGCGAATCAGCAGCAGCAGGGTACAAGTGTTCTCGTTTATAGTCCGACGGATCAACATCGCCGCGCGCGGACTATGTGGCAAACCCTTCAAAACGCGATACTTATAGTCCCATTCAGGAAAATTGCATGAAGAGTGGTTGTTTTGCTACTAGTTTCTGGAGTTTGGCATTTACGTAGATTTGGACCGCGCTTGCTTCAACTTCCAGTCGCACGGTTTTCCACGCTGATCAATGTCGCTTGACTAACGGTCAAAACTAAATAAAATCAAATATGGTTTGGGGGTCGAATAGTAACCCAAAAACTTCGTTTCTACCCTGTAAGCGAGATAAATGAGATGTCATCGTCGATCGCGCTGGAGACAGCGCGACAGGATTGAGAATCAGTCGCGGTCAAGAGAAAAATAATTACAATAAAAAAGTTAAAATATCGAATCGATGATCCCTTTTTCATCGTTTTCTTTGAATGTTGGGCTGGTTTGATCTGGAGCCTCTGATTGGCTGCGGAGCTGATTCGTGCAATGATTCGGTCAAGCTGCAAAATTTCCCGCCAAAAACGGGACTATAGGGTTCGGGCCAACCCTAGGCGATATCCGAAAATTCTACTCAGGGGGGGAAAGGGACTCTCTCAACGAGAGCCTCTAACCAGGAACACTTGTACGATACAGCGCCTTTCTGTGGCTCCTCAGATCAGACGGTTCGTCAAGCCCTTGCAGTGACTGGTTCGGACTCTACCTGTGGTCTTCCCTGCCAAGTGGTTGTGGTCAGGGGACGGACGGAGCGGACGAAACGGCGCGGGATTTGTTCAAATACGACACGACATGCCTCCTTCGTCCGAAGCAGACGCTGAGGTACGGATATGCTGTTCCGCCGCCCTTCGGCAATTTCGGGGGCCAATGGACTTCCACGTCTGTACTTCGACTGTTTCCAGAGAACAGCTGAAAACTTTTTCGAGGACCCCGTTTTCTACGCAACGGCCACGATGAGCGAGGCTGTAAGCCATCAAGGGTTGCGATAGAGCCACCGCGCAACCCTCTTTGTAGATACCCTTTTCCCACTTCGAGATATTCGTAAAACATCCACATTGTTCTCAAAGGATCACACAAACCTTCAAACGTGCAAGGATGAGTGGAGCACCTCCATTCGATCCCATTTACAAGCTCTACTCAAACCATAATAAGGATAGCTCATTGCCCAAGCTTTTAGTCTACTGCATAACCACCTTACCATCCAGGTCTCCTGCATTTAATTCTTCATCAGCTGATTTGTTAGTGTTACTGTTAGTTGCCTTGGCTTGCCTTCCTTGCTTCCTCCGAGTGCGAGTGCTCACCGCACGAGCAGCAGCAACGGCTACTTGTTGTGTCAGCGCGGGTTTCAATAACTCCTCCTCCACATGACGCTTGGCCCATGATTTGTCCGCCCCCATCTTGACCATATCCTGCAATGGAAAAAAGATGCATGGATGAGACATAACCAGACATGACAAAATGCATGCATCACATACAGTAGACATGCAGTATTATCCACGAATGGGATATCATGCATGCATGGGATAACGTGGGGTACTATACATACCCGGAGCACTACATGCATGAAGTACTGTACATGCATTGAGTTTCATACCTGCATACACGCACTACCACCATACCATGACAGCCGTACCTGCACCATGGCTGTCACGCCTCGGCTCTGCTCCATGATAGACGCGTCGAGTGACACATACGCAGGGAAGATGGCCCTTGCATACACCTGATGACAGCATTGGGATTGGGAGGAGGGTGATGGCGATAAGGAGGTTAGGGTGTTGAGACATCTCATAACTGCATGATAGTCGCGTCAAGTGTCACATACACAGGGAAGATGGCCCACGCATACACCTGATGACAGCGTTGGGATTGGGAGGAGGGTGATGGCGATACGGAGGTTAGGGTGTTGAGACATCTCATAACTGCATGATAGTCGCGCCAAGTGTCACATACACAGGGAAGATGGCCCGCGCATACACCTGATGACAGCATTGGTGGGAAGGAGGGTGATGGCAAAGACAAGGAGAGGGGACAGTGGGACAGACAGACAGGCAGACAGGAAAGAACAACCTTAGAAGGACTTTAGAGGAGCCTTAAAAGTCAGCAATGATAGAAGGAGCTGGGGGGTGGTAGACCAATGAGCTGGGAAGATGGCCTGCGCATACACGCCATACAGGGTGGCACGCCATGCAGAATGGCATGCCATGAGAGGTGGCACGCCATGCAGAATGGCATGTCATGAGAGGTGGCACGCCATGCATGTGCAACCAGCGACCTTATCCAGTAGCAACCAGAATGGCACGCCATGCAGGGTGGCACGCCATGCAGGGTGGCTGGCACGCCATGAATGTGCAATCAGCGACCTTATCCAGTAGCAACCAGAATGGCACGCCATGCAGGGTGGCACGCCATGCAGGGTGGCTGGCACGCCATGAATGTGCAATCAGCGACCTTATCCAGTAGCAACCAGAATGGCACGCCATGCAGGGTGGCACGCCATGCAGGGTGGCTGGCACGCCATGAATGTGCAATCAGCGACCTTATCCAGTACCCCCTTGATGTGACCTTCACACATCCCCTTCCCATTCAAGTACCGCACCTTCAAGTCATTTTCGTTCGGCGTGCCAAGAGCCTCGTTCGGCGTTCCACGAGCTGACACCTCTGCACCAACAGTTGCACCAGCAGTTGGCCCAGCCGCACTTCCTTCAACGTCAGCACCGATCACTGCAGCTCCTTCCTCCTCCCCACGCACCGTTGCTGCAGAAGTGGCGTCCACAGCAACAACATCCTCCTCACCATTGCCATCACCCTGAGCACCGATAGGAACAGCACCATCAGCAGCAAGCTCAGCGCCCACAGCAACAGCAGACGTTTCAGCCACAGCCTCAGCTTCGGCTTCAGCCTCAGCAGCAGCGTTGCTCTTGCCAGTAGCAGCAAGCTCAGCGTCTGCAGCAACAGCAGAAGGTTCAGCCACAGCTTCGGCTTCAGCCTCAGCAGCAGAGTTGCTCGTGCGCATGCCTCCAGCTCTTTCCTTCGTGCTGCTCTCCTCGCCTGCTCCCAGCGCCTCTTCATTGCTCTCCTCGCCTGCTCCCAGCGCCTCTTCATTGCTCTCCTTACCTGCTCCCAGCGCCTCTTCATTGCTCGCCTCGCCTGCTCCCAGCGCCTCTTCATTGCTCGCCTCGCCTGCTTCCATCTCCTCACCTCTGCCTCCACCTGCCTTATTCTCCGCTACCTCTGCACTTCCCCCTTCACCCAATGCTGTCAAGTTTGCAGTTCTCCCTTCGCCCAGCGACCCTGCCTCTGAGCTTCCCTCTTGACCCAACGCTGTCCCCTCTACACTGGTCCTTTTGGCGAGCCCAGTCTCCTCCACGCTTCCGTCCATGCTCCCCTCCTTGCGTAGACGCCTCGCAGGGCTGCTGCTCCTGCTCTTCTCCCCCTTTCTCCTCCCTCTCCTGCCGCCACTGCTGCTGCTCACGCTGCCACTGCTCATGCTGCTGCCAACTTCACTGCTATTGGGTGAGCCAGAGAGAGTATTGCTTTCGCTGTTTTCAATACTTGATCCAAAGCCTTCAAAGGACAGTAACGAGGCGTCTACTGGCGAGGCAGGGGTGGGCGGCAGGAGTGCTGACCTGGCAGTTGCTATCGCACTGTTCACTGTAGCAGCCAGTTTCAATTCCGTCTCGCTCAGTTTGGACTCTAGCGAGGAAACCTTTTCTTCAAGAAGCCTCGTCTCTCTGTCTGATGCCTCCTTTCTCTCTGCAAGCAACGCTTGCAGCTCATTGGCCCGTTCGGCTTCCTGCAATCAGGCAACGACACATGGAACACAACGCAGTGACACAGGTCAAACTCCAGACACGGACCACATACTACATCCCTCTTTTTCTCCTCCTGCGCCTGCTTCTCAGTGGCAGAGACAGCAGCTCTGAGCCGTGCTGTGTGCAGCTGCCCCTCTCCCCTCAAACTCTTACTCTCCCTACCTCTCCTCTCCCTTCCCCTCCCCTGTGCCTCACCTCTTGCGTCCGCTTCTCAGCAGCAGAGACAGCAGCTCTCAGCCATGCCGTGTGCAGCTGCCCCTCTTCCCGCAACACGCTGTTGAAAAATACTCAATACACCCTGCAAACTCCCTCTCATCCCCCCACCCCTCTCCTGTCTCTCTCACCTCTTGTGCCCGCTTCTCAGCGGCAGCAACAGCAGCCCTCAGCCGTGCCGTGTGCAGCTGCCCCTCTTCCTCAAACTTTTACTCTCTTTACCGCTTCGCTCCATACCTCTCGTCTCTCGACCTTTCCTCTCCTCTCTCTCACCTCTTGTGCCCGCTTCTCAGCGGCAGCCACAGCAGCCCTCAGCCGTGTCGTGTGCAGCAGCCCCTCCTCCCGCATCGACTCCACCTGCTCCTCCAGCCACCTCACCGCCCCCTTGCTCTCCTCCACCTCCTCCTGCGCTGCTCTCTGTGCGTTCAAGCCAAACACAGGGGGTGCAAAAGGTGAGAACAAGTTAGGTCGACTCCACCTGCTCCTCCAGCAACCTCACCGCCCCCTTGCTCCCCACCACCTCCTATGCTGCTCACTCCAGTTTATGGTACTGAAATTTGAGTCGACTCAAAAGTCTCCCCCTTGCCTTCCTCCACATCCTGTGCTGCTCACTCCAGTCCAGTTTATGGTACTGAAATAGAGGTTGATCAGGGCGAGTAATGAGGGGAGGGGAGGAGAGGGAAGGAAAGGAACGAACACAACAATGTCTAAGAACAACTGTCTTTGGATATGCATTAAGAGTTGGAGAACCGCTTACCACTCTTGAAATTCTGTTGAGAATTCTGTTGAATTCTGTGGAGATTTCTGTTGAAATTTCTGTTGAGATTTCTGTTGAGAGTTCTCAAAAGGGAGTGCAAGAGCCGCTTACCACTTTGGCTTCCAGGCTGGATGTCACTCGTGCCAGCTCAGCGGCTGCCTGCTGGCGGGAGGCTGCCAGCTCAGCATGGCGCTCCGCAAGGTGCTGCTTGAGCGTGCTCTCGCGGTCTCTGAAGGCGGCAGCAGAGTGGCGGCTGGTGCGCTGCAGCTGATCGACTCGCTGCTGCAGCAGCCTGTTCTCGCTCATTGCTGCTGTCAGACGCGTGTTCAACTGGGAAGGTTTTTTAGGGTAGTAGAGAGGGGTGAAACGTGGTAAACAGGGGTGAAAGGGGTTGAGAAGGGGCGAAAATGAGAGTCCGCAGAGTTAATCCCCTCAGTGTCTTGGTTTCGCGGTCTCTGAAGGCGGCAGCGGAGAGGCGGCTGGTGCGCTGCAGCTGATCCACCCGCTGCTGGAGGAGCCTGTTTTCGCTCACTGCGTCTGTCAGGCGGGTGTTCAACTGAGGGATGGAGGCGATTCGGGGGGATAGGCAGGGGTGAAAGGCGGTAAACAGAGGTGAACTGGGTTGAACAGGAGTGAAAATGGGTGCAAGCAGAGAGGATCTCGTCAGTGTCTTGGTCTCTGAAGGCGGCAGCGGAGAGGCGGCTGGTGCGCTGCAGCTGATCCACCCGCTGCTGTAGATTATTTCGACCATTGCTGCTGTCAGCCGCGTGTTCAACTGTCACAGGGATGTTAACGGGTGAACAGTGATGAAAAGGGTGGAAACGGGGTGAAAGGTGGTGAACAGGGGTGAAAAGCGGAGAACAGGGGAGTAAGCAGAGATAACATTGTCAGTGCCTTTGCCTCGTGGTCCACGTGTGCCCCATGCATGCCTCACGTGTGCCCAATGCATGCCTCACGTGTGCCCAATGCATGCCTCACGTGTGCCCAATGCATGCCTCGCGTGTGCCCCACCCCACGTGTGGGCATGGTTGCCAGCAGCAGGGAAGCATACCTCGTGGTTGCACGGCACGGAAGCGTTAACTCGTGGCTGGAAGGCAGGCAATGGATGTCCACAAGCAGGCAATGGATGTCCACAAGCAATCCCTACCTCATGGTTGGTGATGAAGAGGTGGTCACGAGAGCGGGTGACCTCCTTCAGCTGAGCTTCCGCAGCAGGTTTCACCATGCGCCATCGGACATTTCTGCCCCACCCATACGTGCTGTGCCCCACGCGTGGTTGCTAGCCAAGCCAGCAGCGGTCAATCCCTACCTCATGGTTGGTGATGAAGAGGTGGTCACGAGAGCGGGTCACCTCCTTCAGCTGAGCTTCCGCAGCAGGTTTCACCATGCGCCATCGGACATTTCTGCCCCACCCACACGTGCTGTGCCCCACGCGTGGTTGCTAGCCAAGCCAGCAGCGGTCAATCCCTACCTCATGGTTGGTGATGAAGAGGTGGTCACGAGAGCGGGTGACTTCCTTCAGCTGAGCTTCCGCAGATGCCACTCGGCGCTCCAAGTCGCTCGCCTGCACCACTGCTGCGTTGCGCTCTGACTGCAGGGGGGACGAAGAGGGAGCAAGGGCAAGGGAAACAGCCAGGGTATGAGGAGTCTACTGGAGAGGAAGCGCATGAAACACAGATGCCACCCGGTGCTGCAAGTCACTCGCCTGCACCACTGCTGCATTGCGCTCCGACTGGAAAGGGGTGGGGGAAAAAGGGGGGAGATATGGGGACAGGAAGAGGAAAGAGAGGACACATGACCCACAGTTGCCACTGCCCGCAGCCGCCCTTCCACGTCCCTCCGATCAAAGGCTTCTGACATCCTTCCCAACCAACGAGCAGCAGATTCTGTCAAAGGAACCTCAGCTCAAGTTGTCTATGTACTTGCCCATAACATACTCCTTGCCCCTCCACATCCCTCCACATCCCTTCACAACCCTCCGCACCCCTCCACATGCATTTCTTGCCCTTACATATCCCTCATCTCACCTTAATAGCAGCATGCTGGGACAGGTACGTCTGCAAGTTCACCTCCTCCTCTCTCCTCTGCTGCACCATTGCCCCCTCGCTCGCCCTCAGCTGTGCTCCCACCGCCCGCAGCCGCCCCTCCACGTCACTCGCCCGCTCGCTCTGCACGCGGTGCGCCGCCCGCAATGATTGCGCCAGCTGGCGCTTCTCCAGCAGTGCCTTGCGCAGGCGAGTGCGCAACTGGCAGGGGGGAGGGAAGGGGGAGGAGGGGGAGAAAGGAAAAAGGGGGAGAAATGGGGCTGGAAAGGGGTGCTGAAAGCAACTTGTCAGCACTTACCACCATGTTAGACTGGGAAACAAAAGTTACTTCCCCTCTCTCCCACGCCCCCACACACGCACATTTACATGCGCACACACACCACACATCACTACTCACCGCCACACGTTACTCTCTTCCCCCCCCCATTCCTCCCCACACATGCGCCCACACACACCACACATCACCGCTCACCACCGTGTTGGACTGGGACACACCACACATCAAACCCCCTTTCACATACACCCACCCACACGCACCGCACATCACCGCTCACCACCGTGTTGGACTGGGATACAGAGTCCTGCTGCTTCGTCAGCACGTCCAGTGATGTGGTCAGCCCTGTGATCTGATTGGTCAACGCAGACAGCTGACTCGTCACACTGTTGCGCTCCGCCTGCCGGCACACGGGCACGACGGGTGGGGTGTGGGAAGGGGCGAGGGCGGGTGCGAGGAAGAGGGCGAGGGAGGGTGCGAGGAAGGGGGTGTGGGAGGGGGTGTGGGAGGGGGTGTGGGAGGGGGCGAGGGCAGGGGCGAGGGAAGGGATGTGGGAGGGGGCGTGGGAGGGGGTGTGGGAGGGGGTGTGGGAGGGGGCGAGGGCAGGGGCGAGGGAAGGGATGTGGGAGGGGGTGTGGGAGGGGGTGTGGGAGGGGGCGAGGGCAGGGGCGAGGGAAGGGATGTGGGAGGGGGTGTGGGAGGGGGTGTGGGAGGGGGTGTGGGAGGGGGCGAGGGCAGGGGCGAGGGAAGGGATGTGGGAGGGGGTGTGGGAGGGGGTGTGGGAGGGGGTGTGGGAGGGGGTGTGGGAGGGGGCGAGGGCAGGGGCGAGGGAAGGGATGTGGGAGGGGGTGTGGGAGGGGGTGTGGGAGGGGGTGTGGGAGGGGGCGAGGGCAGGGGCGAGGGAAGGGATGTGGGAGGGGGTGTGGGAGGGGGTGTGGGAGGGGGTGTGGGAGGGGGCGAGGGCAGGGGCGAGGGAAGGGATGTGGGAGGGGTTGTGGGAGGGGATAAGCCGGAGGGGTACGTATGGGCATGGTTCAAAACAGCTTTGGAGCATATATGTACACAGGTAGCATTCAAGGCGCATGGACAAACTAACTAGTGCCTCAAGCCGTGATCCCTAAAATGGTCATACAAACTGTGTACGCGGTTTACATGCCTTGGGGTGACTTTTGAGTCAACTCAAAAGTCAAATCCGTGATCCCTAAAATGGCCATACCAACTGTGTACGTGGTTTACATGCCTTTGACTGTCACATCACATGCCCTTTACTGCCACGTGGCCGTCATCCCTTACTGCCCGGCCACTCATCCATTTCACCTGCAGCGAGTCACTAAGAGCCTGCAGGCAGGCCACGTTCTGTGATGCTGCCTGCCAGTGATTACCCCATGCAAGAGCCTGCAAGAGCCTGCAAGAGCCTGCAGTCACACCCTCCTTTAGCCCCGATTGCTCCTACAGCCCTCTCAGCTTATCAGCAGCAAGCGAGCCACGTTCTGTGCTGCTGCGAGTGATAAGCCCACCCACATAAAAGCCCCCTGCCATTACTGTCCCTACAGCCCCTACGGCCCCTACAGCCCCTACAGCCCCTACAGCCCCTACGGCCCCTTACTTATTTCTCCTGCAGCGCGTCGTCGAGTGCCTGCAGGCGAGCCACGTTCTGCGCTGCTACGAGTGATGCCCCCACATCACCACATTCTCTCCACACTCTCACCATCTCTCCCTTGAAGAGTGGGCTAGCGCATGCACGCACACAGCGCGCCCATTTCACCTGCAGCGAGTCGTTGAGTGCCTGCAGGCGAGCCACGTTCTGTGCTGCTGCCACGGACGCTAAAGTGCGCACTTCCAGAGCCTGTCAGCATTGTCAGATTCAACAGAGCAAGGCGAGCATGTGAATGAACAGGTGTGGCATGTCGTGTCATGGCATGGCATGACATTCTGCGCTGCTGCCACGGACGCTAAAGTGCGCACTTCCAGAGCCTGTCAGCATGGCAGCATGGCAGCATGGCAGCATGGATAAGCAAACCAGCATGGAAGCAAATCAGCATGACAACACGGCAGGTGCATGGCAAGGGTGGAATAGAGGGGGATCAGACAGAGAGGAGCACGCGAGCGATAATGTGAATGGCAGGGCAATGCATGGCATGGCAGGGCAGGGCAGGGCGTGGAATGGTATAGTATGGGAGGGCGTAGCATATTATTCCCCAATTGCTGAGGTCCCCCAGTCATATGTCTCCTGCAAGCACCTTACTGAGGTCCCCCAGTCATATGTCTCCTGCAAGCACCTTACTGAGGTCCCCCAGTCATATGTCTCCTGCAAGCACCTTACTGAGGTCCCCCAGTCATATGTCTCCTGCAAGCACCTTACTGAGGTCCCCCAGTCATATGTCTCCTGCAAGCACCTTACTGAGGTCCCCCAGTCATATGTCTCCTGCAAGCACCTTACTGAGGTCCCCCAGTCATATGTCTCCTGCAAGCACCTTACTGAGGTCCCCCAGTCATATGTCTCCTGCAAGCACCTTACTGAGGTCCCCCAGTCATATGTCTCCTGCAAGCACCTTACTGAGGTCCCCCAGTCCCTCCTGCAGGCCCTTTCCCCCCATACTCCCCACTGGTATCCCGCCCACTGTCCCGACAGTCTCACCTTAGTAAGGTTCCCAAGTCGCCCCTCCAGCCCCCTGCCCGCCTGCACCTCCAGCTGCAGCACGCGGTTCCATCCCCTCGCCCTGCCCTTTTCACCCGATAGCCAGCACCCTGGTGAAACTACAGTCACTCTCACTCACCTTAGTGAGGTCCCCCAGTCGCCCCTCCAGCCCCCTGCCTGCCTGCCTCCTGCTGCAGCGAGCAGTTCACGTGCCTCGCCCTGCTCTTTTGCCCACATAGTCAGCACCTTAATGCCACTTCACAGACTCTCCTGCAAGCTCCTCTCCCCTACCCACCCCATCCTCCCATTGCAATCATACTCGCACTCACCTTAGTAAGGTCCCCCAGTCGCCCCTCCAGTCCCCTGCCCGCCTGCACCTCCTGCTGCAGCATGCGGTTCACCCGCCTCGCCCTGCCCTCCCTCCTCTCCACAAACTCAGATAACACCCGCACCAGCTCCGCCTTTCTCACCGCCACCACCGCTTCCTCCCCCTCCTCCCCATCAGCCTTTCTCTGAGGCACCTCAGGATCAGCCTCTGTAGCCTGCTTCCCTTCCCCGTCTTTCAGCTCCTCCCCCTCTGTCTCCTTTCCTGTGCTGTTTGCAGGCTTTGGACCAAGTCTCTCTGCGGCCTTCCGCAATAACTCTGCTGCCTGCGTCTCCCTCTGCTGCTGGGTTTCTGCTGATGAGTCGCCTCCGAGGTGTGAAGGCCGCTGCTCGCTCTGCTGCACTGCTGCATCGGCTATAATCGTACTGCACTGCGACAGAAGGTCCTGAATCTGAGCCTGTATCACGCGTGTGTGTGTGGGGAAATAAGGGGGAGGGAGGCATGCGCTGAGACGCTCGCTACTCGCTCTGCTGCAGTGCTGCGTCAGCTATAAGTGCACTGCACTGCGACAGCAGCAGCTGCTGTATCTGAGCCTGTATTTTTGTGCACGTGTGTGTGTGTGTGTGTGTGTGTGTGTGTGTGTGTGTGTGTGTGTGTGTGTGTGTGTGTGTGTGTGTGTGTGTGTGTGTGTGTGTGTGTGTGTGTGTGTGTGTGTGTGTGTGTGTGTGTGTGTGTGTGTGTGTGTGTGTGTGTGTGTGTGTGTGTGTGCGTGCATGTGTGTGTGGTGTGGGTGTTTTGCATGTTCAGATAACAACTCAGCCCACCTCGGGGTCATTGTCCCCATCCATCTCGTCAAACACCGGGTTGGAAGGAAAGCCCGTACGTGCCACTGCCTCAAGGTGCGCAGATACTTCACAAAACGCACTAGGTACCTGGCCCCTTCCATCTCGTCCAACACAGCGTCGGACAGCCCATACGTGCCACTCCCTCAATGCACAGCGGGTACTCGAACCATCCACATGCACAAATCACCTCAACCCACCGTCACATTTGACGCACCTCGAGGTCTTTACCGCTCTCCATCTCATCAAACGTCGGGTCCGACAGCCCATACGTGCCGCTGACTCGTTTCACGAACTCGTCCCACTGTTGCTCCAGGCGCTCGCGCGCTGATAGGGGGCGTGGGGGACGGACGGGAGCGTGGGGGTGCACGAGGAGAGCATGGGCGCACGAGTGGGGAAAGTCTAGTTTTGAGGCGCCTCAAAACTGGGCGTGGGGGACGGACGGGAGCGTGGGGGTGCACGAGGAGAGCATGGGCGCACGAGTGGGGAAAGTCTAGTTTTGAGGCGCCTCAAAACTGGGCGTGGGGGACGGACGGGAGCGTGGGGGTGCACGAGGAGAGCATGGGCGCACGAGTGGGGAAAGTCTAGTTTTGAGGCGCCTCAAAACTGGGCGTGGGGGACGGACGGGAGCGTGGGGGTGCACGAGGAGAGCATGGGCGCACGAGTGGGGAAAGTCTAGTTTTGAGGCGCCTCAAAACTGGGCGTGGGGGACGGACGGGAGCGTGGGGGTGCACGAGGAGAGCATGGGCGCACGAGTGGGGAAAGTCTAGTTTTGAGGCGCCTCAAAACTGGGCGAGGGGGACGGACGGGAGCGTGGGGGTGCACGAGGAGAGCATGGGCGCACGAGTGGGGAAAGTCTAGTTTTGAGGCGCCTCAAAACTGGGCGTGGGGGACGGACGGGAGCGTGGGGGTGCACGAGGAGAGCATGGGCGCACGAGTGGGGAAAGTCTAGTTTTGAGGCGCCTCAAAACTGGGCGTGGGGGACGGACGGGAGCGTGGGGGTGCACGAGGAGAGCATGGGCGCACGAGTGGGGAAAGTCTAGTTTTGAGGCGCCTCAAAACTGGGCGTGGGGGACGGACGGGAGCGTGGGGGTGCACGAGGAGAGCATGGGCGCACGAGTGGGGAAAGTCTAGTTTTGAGGCGCCTCAAAACTGGGCGAGGGGGACGGACGGGAGCGTGGGGGTGCACGAGGAGAGCATGGGCGCACGAGTGGGGAAAGTGGGTCTTATGAGGGAGGGAGAGGAGGAGAGGGGGAGGGGACGAGGGAGGTCGACGGGTGGAGCAGGAGAGGAAATGCTTTGGGGAGGAATCAAAGCAAAGGGCAACTTCTTTTGAGTCGACTCAAAAACAGGCTCAAAGCAAAGGGCAACTTTTTCTTAGTCGACTCAAAAACAGGCTCAAAGCAAAGGGCAGCTTTTTTTTAGTCGACTCAAAAACAGGCTCAAAGCAAAGGGCAAAGAGTACCTGTGCTGCATGTGCTTTTGGCGTAACCCTCTGTCCATTCAGCTGCGCACTTTCCCCACATAATGTTTGCTCTTAACATTCACTTTCCCCCTTCCCTCACCTTTTCCCTCTCCAGTAATGGTGGTGGCGACGTTGGTGGTGACAGCAGCGCCAACAAGGATTTCCAGAGATGCAAGCAGAGGAACGGACTCGATGGCCTGGAGAAGAGGGGAGGGAGAGGAGGGGAGGGGAGGGGAGGAGGGGGATGGACTGCTGATTGGAAGGCGCGCGTTTCATCTCACCTGGATGACCTGAGCGTTTCAATTCACCTGAGCGACCTGCGTGTTTCATTTCACTCACCTGATAGACGTGCGCGTTTCATCTGAACCACGTACGCGTGTCATCTCAGCTGAATGACGTGCGGTTTCATCTCACCTGAACAGCATGCGCGTTTCATCTCACCTGGATGATGTGTGCTGTGACCTGCACGCCCACTGCCGCCGTGGCAGCCCCCGCAATGAGCCATCCAGCTGTCTGCAGCTGATTGGCGGAGAGGAGAGGGGTTGAGCAGTGGAGCAAGGCGGTAGAGGAGGGGGTGGGGGAGGATGATATGAGTGGACGGGAGAGGTTGGAGCGGGGCGCGGGAGTGGAAGGTGGGAGGGAGAAACAACGGGGAACGAGAACGAGTGAGAGGGTAACTGTGGATGGAATACTGTGGATGGAATACGTTTCTGCATTTCCAGCTGTGGGCATCAAAGTCAGTGTGTGGCATTACACTCGCTGTGGAAATAGCCAGGCTGGTGCGTGCATATACTCGATGTGCTTATACTGCTCTGTGCTTACATTAAAGTATTTGGAATCAGTGCTGGTGTCAACCACCCGCTTCAAAAAGTAGTCAAATGAAGCACCTCAAACCATGCCCTGTGCTCGCATCACCATGTGCTTACATTGAAGTACTTGGAATTGGTGATCGTGTCAACCACCCGCTTCAGAAAGCTCCTCTTCCAAGCCGCTGCCACTGCAGCCGAGTCCAGCCCACCCCACGCGGCAGCGTCGCCAGCCGTCGGATCAATCTGATCAACGTCCAGGATCGTGTGATGCGACTGGAACGGAAACTCTCCAGAAGCAGCCCCCCCAGCGGCAGCATTCGAATCTGGCGAAACAGTTGAGGTGGCAGGCGAGGAAGGGGAGCGTGCGGTGGACTGGGCAAAATCGGCGAAGGGAGGCGAGGAGGAAGCGAACGGGGAGGCGGACGAGGAGGCGGACGAGGAGGGGGAAGGGGAAGGGGAAGAGCCTGGAGAGGCGGGCCGTTCGGACCCACTCTGAGCGTACCCTCTAACGTCCCCTCTCCCATACCCTCTCCCATACCGCCCTTCGTACCGAGCCCCCTCAGACCGCCCCACGGATCCCCTCTCATAACGCCGTGCTGCGTCGTGGTGACTCGCTCGGTCGGAGCCGGCCGTTGAAGGCCGTGAATCGGCTGACGGGTTGTGGGACCAGCGGGAGTTGCTGTTGCCGTGACCGTTTCGAAAGAAGTGGGACCTGCTTGGGTGGGCGCACGGGAAACGGGGAACGTGGGGTGAGAGAGGGGGAGGGAAGGCTTCTGAGAACTGAGGAGAGAGGATGACCCGGCCAGCGGGAGTAGCCGTTGCCAGGGGTGTTGCGAGAGACGTGGGATGGTGAGATAAGAAACGGGAAATTTGGAAAGTAGGGTCAGAGGTCGAAGTGGAAGCAGAGGGGAAAATGGAAACAGAGGGAGAAGTGGAAGCAGAGGGGAAAATGGAAACAGAGGGAGAAGTGGAAGCAGAGGAAGAAATGGAGCAGAGCAGAGGGGGAAGTGGAAGCAGAGGGGGAAATGGAAACAGAGGGAGAAGTGGAAGCAGAGGGGGAAATGGAAACAGAGGGAGAAGTGGAAGCAGAGGAAGAAATGGAGCAGAGCAGAGGGGGAAGTGGAAGCAGAGGGGGAAATGGAAACAGAGGGAGAAGTGGAAGCAGAGGGGGAAATGGAAACAGAGGGAGAAGTGGAAGCAGAGGAAGAAATGGAGCAGAGCAGAGGGGGAAGTGGAAGCAGAGGGGGAAATGGAAACAGAGGGAGAAGTGGAAGCAGAGGAAGAAATGGAGCAGAGCAGAGGGGGAAGTGGAAGCAGAGGGAGAAATGGAGCAGAGCAGAGGGGGAAGTGGAAGAGGCGGTCTTACTTTCCGTTGAACTCGGAGTGAGACGCGTGGCATTTCTGGCCGCTACGCTTGAACGTTACTGGTTGCAGGAATGTGGGTATCAGGGAACAGCAAGGTAACAAATATTCAGGGGACAAGCAGGGATTGTTCGTTTAGGTAACTGAAAGCCGGGGGATAAGCAGGGGACGATGGGCTCGGCGAGGGGAACCTAGTCACGTAATGAGCCTGAAAATGTTGACTGGAAAAGCCTACATTGCTGGCGTAAAGAAAGCAGCAATAATTTTATTTGGTAGACGAGGAATTCAATAAATTTTGACGATACAGAAACTGGCAAACTGTCAGGCAAACCGGACAATTGAAACAGAAGAGCGGTTCATACCGCATCGCCATTTTGGCTTGGCGGTCCGAACTAGGAGCCGTTGGTGGCTGCTCTTGAGCTGACTGACACCTTTTGAGGCCCCTCAAAAGACGAAACATAAGCGCGGGTTAGGACCGTACCGTGTCGCCATTTTGGCTTGGCGGTCCGAACTAGGAGCCGTCGCTGGCTGCTCTTGAGCTGACTGATACCTTTTCAGATGCCTCACAAGAGTTGAAACAGAAGAGTGACTATGTTCCGTACCGTGTCGCCATTTTGGCTTGGCGGTCAGAACAAGGAGCCGCCGCTGGCTGCTCTTGAGCTGACTGACTCCGCCCTTCCGACACGCGGACGCGCGAATCACGGCGGGAAGAGGCCGAGCGACGCGCCAGCAATGGCGGGGAGGGTCCAAAGCGACCGATGCCATTTATGACGAATTCAGCTAATGTACTATCACTACAAGGAAAAGGAAATGACGTTTTTGAGGATTCACCGTACGGGTGAATGCTGGAAATCCGTTATCTAAAAATTATAAGCAACGCGAGTATCAACAGAGGGGAGGTAAATGCTGGTCAGGATAGAGTCAGATAAAAGCGGTCAATGCTGGACGACAGGATTCATCGAACGGTTGAATGCTGGAGAAATAATCGTTGTCTAGAAGAAGTCTAACACTGCAGGATAAGGGACTGGATGGATATAGAAACTTCACAGCTTTATTGTGGAGCGCAGTCCGTGTGCAAGGTTCTAGTGAACTAGACGAGACTGCCACTGCAACTGTCGGAACGTCCCTTACTCATTGGTCACTAGCTTGACTGAATGCTCATCTCTTCACTAAAAGGTGCTGCGTCGTGAACAGAACGCACAACCCCGAAAACAGATCTGCCTGTTCTCTAGGCGCTAACTGCCCACAGCCGTCGATGCGGAAATCCTGGACGACACAGGTGGACTGGAAGAAACCACATGTGGATGGATCGGTCCAGAAAGATGAATGGGACTCACAGCTCAGAGATCTCGCACGCACCCTAGGCCGTCCAACACGCCTCAGATTAGAACGAACGGCAGGATCGCGAAGACAGCAGCAACACGACGGTGGAATTTGATTGGTGGGTTGTGCCTTCGCGCTCCTTTTCAAGTCCACGACCAAACAAGATATTCCTTGGGGAGTGTTCGATATTGTACAAGCCCACCCATCAATTCATATAGAGAAGGTAAAGCGTATTTAAGATACCTACACAAAAACTTCATATTTATGTCACGAAACCTAGCCCTGTTATGTTTTAGACCCTCCTTGAGCCAGCGAAACTGGTCCTTTGCTATCAAGGATGAGGAGGTAGTTGTAAAGAAGGCGCATGAAGTGGTCAACAGGACCAGGCAAGCAGTAGTAGTAGCAATCTGTGAGGCCATTCAGTTGCCGTAGGTGCCCATCTGGTCGCATTGACAAGGAGAAATCCAGATTCATGTACACGCCACCAAATTCCTGCACGATAAGGAAGGGAAACAGCGGACAGGAGAGGGATAACAGCAGACAGGAGAAGAATCACCTCACATGTAATTTTTTTAGAATATGCATCAACTTTCCAAAATGCAACCCTGAATCTAGGAGCAAAAAGCTAATATCTTACCCGTAGCATCCAACTCACCCGGATCAAATCTCGCACTGCTTCGTTCTGCTCCAGTACGAATGCCCATGGACCAGCCCGGGTAGCATTATCGGGCGGCGCTGCCAGCGGCTCTGTGGCATTCTCACAACCCTCGTGGCCACGCCACGTGGATCGCCATATCAGCAGGGTGTCAGGCGCCACCTGTCGGAATTTCGTGAGGGTCTGACGGAGCGTCTTCAGGTACACCGGTGCTGGGAAGGGAAGACGGGGGGAAGTTAGCCACGCCACGGGGATGGTTGGGATAAGCAATTAGAGATGGCGGGATTGGTAAGGAAGTTATAGATAATCAAACTTCTGTTTTAAAAGATCATCGAGCCGATTCTCGAACATTCAGCTGAGAATTTAACGTGAATACGTTCCGCAATGTCCAGTCCAGGTACCCCAGCTGAAGCTGCTTAGACACAACCTGAACCACGCTCCACCACCTCCACAACACAGTCCAATCAGCCACTTCATCTGCCTGTGAAGCAGCAGCACTCACTGGGGTGGCGCTCGAAGCCTTTGTTGTGAAGTGGCACAATAGACACGTTCCACTGCTGCAGGTGCCAAAGCCACTGCTGGTTGAACGCCCCTTACCCAGGCAAGTCAGTCCCTAGCCACTGTCCCCCAACCACTGGCCCCCGAGCCAAGCACAGGCACTCACTGGGGCGGTGCTCGAAGCCCTTGTTGAGAACCACAATCGATACGTTCCATTTCCTCAGGTGTCCCAGCCAACGTTGGTTGAACGCTCCCCCCCCCGGCGAGTCGGGCGTGAGCAGGTTGTTGTGGGCGACACGGAAGGTGAATCCCCCTGGGACGATGTCGGAGCACACCACGTGGGGGTTGTTGATTGCACACGCCGGCTGGTTGTTGGGCGCCGTCCTGTGATTGAGAGGGATGGGGAGTGTGGAGGCGAGGGAGGGTGAATCCCCCCCGCACAATGTCCGACCACACCACGTGGGGGTTGGTGGTTGCACACGCCGGCTGGTTGTTGGGTTGGGCGCCGTCCTGTCACTGGGAGGGAGAGAGGGCATTGTGATTAAGACTGACCAGGGGCAATGTGGAAGGTGAAGCCCCCCGGCACAATGTCGGAGCACACAATGTGGGGATTGTTCGTTGCGCATGCCGGCTGGTGTTGGGTGCGGTCCTGCAGAGGGAAAGGCACGGGGCACCACTCATCAGGTGCAATACGGAAGGTGAAGGCCCCCCGGTAAAATGTTGGAGCACAGCACGTGGGTGGTGCTGGTGGCGCATACTGGCTGGATGTTGGGCGCCGTTTTGCCATGAAAGTAGGAGAGAGACGAGGGCTTTGGGACCACATGCTATTTTGCTTGCGCTGATGAAGGTTTGACTTGGGGCCTGTCCCAGTCAACCGAAACATGTTCGCGTTTTAATCCTGTAGTGGAATAAGAGTTCAGTTTTCAGATTCTCGGTTTTTAACAGGGTCAATTTTTACTACTGACTATCATTTGCTAAAGATTTTTTCTAGACTGCAGCTCGCCTAAACAAGCTTCTATGGCTTCGGGCACAAAGGCGGTTCGAGTCGCCCCAAGCACATGGTTTGGTTGGCATTTGGGAGTTGCCAGAAAGCCAAGAAGAAAGGGGGGACGGAGAAACAGAGGGCAGGAGCAGCGTGGCAAATCCCAACGTCAAGCCACACAGCAAAAGTACATTACACCCACCCTCACACTTACATCCCAACCCCACCAACACCGAACCCCTCACCAGGCATCAGCGATGTCCCCAATCTCCTTCTGAGTGGCGATGGTAGTCACGTGGTTGAGGAACACGTCGTGCAGCGCCAGCTGAGTGGTGTCCCCCACAAACAGCACGTTGCGCTGCCCCACCGCCAGGCATCCCAAACCCCCACTAGCAGGCACCCCAGCCCAGCCCCCACCGCATGGACAGCACCTCACTCTCTCACCAGGCGTCAGCGATGTCCCCGATCTCCTTCTGAGTGGCGATGGTAGTGACGTGGTTGAGAAACACGTCGTGCAGCGCCAGCTGAGTGGTGTCCCCCACAAACAGCACGTTGCGCTGCCCCACCGCCAGGCATCCCAAACCCCCACTAGCAGGCACCCCAGCCCAGCCCCCGCCGCATGGACAGCACCTCACTCTCTCACCAGGCGTCAGCGATGTCCCCGATCTCCTTCTGAGTGGCGATGGTAGTGACGTGGTTGAGGAACACGTCGTGCAGCGCCAGCTGAGTGGTGTCCCCCACAAACAGCACGTTGCGCTGCCCCACCGCCGCACAGAACTTGTGCCGGTTGAACCCCATGAACGGCGGGCAGAAGCGGTTGGCCTTCCACTGGTACTTGAGCTCCGCCCGCACGTGCCACTCCCGGTCTCCTGGATTCTTCCGAAACTTGTCCGCTGCAAAGCCGTACATGCCCTTGCCCCCGGTCCTGCCAACAGGGTAGGGAAGGGGGTTAGGGGGTGTGGGGTTGGGGAGGCAGGGACATGGGAGGAGAAACGGAAGGGGAGAAGGAAGAGGGCGATGGGAGAGGAGTAGGAAGAGTCGGTTGAACCCCAGGGGAGGGCGATGGGAAGGGAGGGCAGAAACGGTTGGCCTACTTCCGTGGGCACTAAAGCTCCACGAGCAGACATCAACGACGAATCAATAATACAAATTGTGCCGTGCCGTAGTGCGGGGCACGAGGGTTGGTGTGGGGGTCGCGGGACCAGGGCAGCCAGCGGGGCGTGTTGAAGCGCACCCACTTGCCGTCCTCCGCCACACATGACACCTCCTGCTGTGCCTCCGTCACTCCGTCACTCACTCACACCCCACTATCTCGTTGATATGCGGCAAACCGCACGCTCCATAATGCACAAACCAAGGCATACCCACATACTCACTCGTTCACGTGTAGCAGGTCACAAGTGCCGTAGTGCGGCGCGCGTGGGTTGGTGTGCGGGTCGCGGGACCACGGCAGCCAGCGGGGCGTGTTGAAGCGCACCCACTTGCCGTCCTCCGCCACACACGACACCTCCTGCTGTGCCTCCGTCACTCCGTCACTCACTCACACCCCACTATCTCGTTGATATGCGGCAAACCGCACGCTCCATAATGCACAAACCAAGGCATACCCACATACTCACTCGTTCACGTGTAGCAGGTCACAAGTGCCGTAGTGCGGCGCGCGTGGGTTGGTGTGCGGGTCGCGGGACCACGGCAGCCAGCGGGGCGTGTTGAAGCGCACCCACTTGCCGTCCTCCGCCACACACGACACCTCCTGCTGTGCTTCGGCCACTGCTACTTCGCCGCGAATGCGCGTCCCTGGGATGCACGCCGAGAAGTTGGTGCAGGCTGGGATAGGTGGAGGAAGGGGAGGGAACAGGGTGAAGGTGGGAGAGAGGGGTGAAGTGGGGGGAAGAGCGGTGAAGAGCAGTGACGTGGGAGTAAGAGGGGTGAACTGGAGAGAAGAGGGGTGTGTGAGGAGGACGTGAAGGGTGCAACGTAACAAGTTGGCACATGAAAAGCAACAAGACACGGGGGCGGGGGGGGGGGGTGACTCAAGGAATCACTTACGCTCCAAAACAGGGGCAGCAGTGGCCGGAGTAGCAGCCGCAGCCGCAGCGGCAGCGGCAGTGGCTGCTTCTTTACCCGCTCCCGCTCCAACACTTGCACCTTCGCCACCACTGACTGTGCCAGTCCCAGCAGCAGGAGTGACAGTGCCAGCAGCAGTGGCAGAGCCAGCAGCACCAGCATCAGCAGAAGCTGTTGCCTCTGTGTCTGTAACACCTGCAGCTGTTGTCCCTTCTCCCGCCCCTACAACCCCTCCTGCTGCTTCACCACTCCCAGACACCCCCAAACCAGCATCAGCAGCACCATCAGCGGTGCCAGCAGCAGCACCAGCACCAGTAGCAGCACCGCCAGGAGCACCAACAGTCCCTGGTCCTGCACCAACCGCATCTGCATCTTGAGAGCTCTCCACCCCTCCACGCCCATCTCCACCACTCCCTTCCACTTGCCCCTCACCCAACCCTCCTCCCACTCCCATCCCCCCTCCAATCCCTGCTCCCTCAAACCCTTCCGCACCTCCTACCCCCACCATCCCTCCTCCTCCTCCATCCTCCCTCCCCCTCTCCTCCTCCTCTATCTCCTCCTTACTCCTCCACCTCCCTCCCCGTGGCACATCAGACAAGTCTTCCTCTTCCACCACCACTCCCCCCTCGCCCACCACCCCACGCACCTTCACCACTGGCACCCCACCAGCACCACCACCACTAGACCCAGAACCACCGGCAGCACCACCGAAACCAGAACCAGACAAACCGTCGCCACCACCAAAACCAGCAGCACCAGCAACACCACTAGCAACACCACCAGCAACACCAGCAGCAGTAGCAGCAGCGGAAGCAGGGAGGGTGGTCTGGGGGGAGTGTAGGTCGAGCAGCAGCAGCAGGTTATGGAAGAGAGACACCCAGTGGTCGAGCGGGCCGGGCATGCAGTAGTGGTGGCAGTTGATGCTGCCGTCCATGCGCTCGTGATGGCCGTCGGGGCGAAGGGAGGTGGATGAGTCAACGTCCATGTATACTGCCCCGTACTCCTGGGGGGGGTTGGGTTGTGGGGGTGTGGGGGAATAGGGAGCGAGGGGTGTTAGAGCAAGCAGCAGCAGCAGCGGAAGCAGGGAGGGCGGTCTGGGGGGAGTGTAGGTCGAGCAGCAGCAGCAGGTTGTGGAAGAGCGACACCCAGTGGTCGAGCGGGCCGGGCATGCAGTAGTGGTGGCAGTTGATGCTGCCGTCCATGCGCTCGTGGTGGCCGTCGGGGCGAAGGGAAGTGGCTGAGTCCACGTCCATGTACACTGCCCCGTACTCCTGGGGGGGGTTGGGTTGTGGGGGTGTAGGGGAGTAGGGAGGGAGGGGCGTTAGAGCAAGGAGCGGCAGCAGCCATCAGCACCACTACCACCACCACCAGCAGCAGCAGCACCACCACCAACAGAAAGGGGGCCGGGCATGCAGTAGTGGTGGCAGTTGATGCTGCCGTCCATGCGCTCGTGGTGGCCGTCGGGGCGAAGGGAGGTGGCCGAGTCCACGTCCATGTACACTGCCCCGTACTCCTGAGGGGGTGCGGAGGAGGGGGGAAATTGGAGGGGAGTAGGTAAGGTGGGGAGGGGCGTTTGATCAAGAGGGGATCGAGGGAGCTTCAGCAGCAGCGCCAGCAGCAGCAGCAGCAAGGCAGGGAGTGGTCGAGCGGGCCGGGCATGCAGTAGTGGTGGCAGTTGATGCTGCCGTCCATGCGCTCGTGGTGGCCGTCAGGGCGCAGGGAGGTGGCTGAGTCCACGTCCATGTACACTGCCCCGTACTCCTGGGGGGGTTTGTGAAGGGGGGGGAGGGGAGGGGAGGGGGGGAAGAGAGGACAGAGGTCACATCCATGTACACTGCCCCGTACTCCTGGGGGGGTTTGGGGGGGAGTAGGTCAGGAAGGCATTAGGGGAGAGAGTTAGGAGCCAGATTGCACCTTGCGGAGCCGCATGATCACACTCAGTTTGGGCCAACTCAGAGACACACCTTGAGCAGCGGTCTGATAGAGGCGTTCATCTCGGCATGCCGGAGCCACGCGTCGGGAATCTTTTCCTTGGCTGCCAGCGGTGCAGGGCGGCGATCCCTATGTATGCACCTAAAGTAGAGCGCACGAGCAATCACATACCTTGAGCAGCGGTCTGATAGCGGCGTTCATCTCGGCGTGCCGGAGCCACACGTCGGGAATCTTCCCCTTGGCTGCCAGCAGGACGGGCCGGGTCCTGAGCGGGCGAGTGAAGTGCTGGCAGCTGGGATGGCCGCCCACGGCGCTGCGCCAGATGACGAGCATGTCCGGATACAGGTCCCTCACAGCTTCTAATGTATCCCTCACCTCCTGCAGCATCAGCTCCTCTGAAGACATGAAGGGGCAAGGGGCACAGAAAATTAGATGACAAGCATGTCTGGGTACAGGTCCCTCACTGCTTCTAGCGTGTCCCGCACCTCCTGCAGCATCAGCTCCTCTGGTTGGACAGGGGAATAGAGGCAAGGCAAGGGGGAAAGGTCAGCAGATGACAAGCATGTCCGGATACAGGTCCCTCACAGCCTCAAGGGTATCTCGCACTTCCTGCAGCATCAGCTCCTCTGGTTGGATGGGGAAATAGGGGCAAGGCAAGGGGGAGGGATAGTAAGATGACAAGCATGTCCGGATACAGGTCCCTCACTGCCTTTAGGGTATCCCGTCTGCACTCACTGTCGCCAAAGGCCGGGGTGCGGGAGAGCACGAGGATGCTGGTTTTCCACTTCTTGAGGCGCTTGAGCCAGCGGTTGTTGAGCCGCGTGGGTCGCCCCGTGTCCGGCGCTGCAAAAGCGTTCAGTACCACCCGCAGATTGAACCCCGCCATCCTCCTCCTCCTCAGCACCACACCACCAGTGCCGCCCTCCTTGTTGCTCAATGGCTCACTCACCCCCTGGTTCAGCACATCCCCTCCACCCCCCTGCCTCCCGACTGCCCTCCTCTTCCTCCCAGTCCTCCCTGCTTCCCCACTCCCGCCTCCTGCTCCCAACCCTTCCTCCTCTTCCACTCTCGTGAATCCTGTCGACTCCCCTTCGCCCTCACCACTCTCACTCCGTTCTCTGCTTCCCAGCCCAGCAGCCTCCCCACTCCTCTCGTCCCCCTCCCAATCGCCAGCCCTCACTCTCCCAGCCAGCCCTCTGCCTCGTCCCCAGCCCTTCCTCTGAAACCCACTTCTCAGTCCACCCACCACACCCAACTCCTTACTTTCCTGCCCCCCCCTTGCACCCTCCTCCTCGCCCCTGTCCTGCCGGTCCTCTCCCCCTGTGTCGTCCGCAGCTGCATCAGCAGCAGCAGCCCCGAAGCGAGAACGACGACCAGCACCGCCTATTCCAAGTCCACTGCCACCAGCACCACCGCCACTGCCACCACCGCCACCAGCAGCCGAACCACCAGCGGTGAAGCGACCAGCATTAGCAGCACTAGCAGTGGCAGGATCAGAGTCAGGGTCACCAAGTGTTGAGGAGTCATCATCAGCAGCAGCAGCAACAGCAGTGGTGGTGGGGGTGGAAGGGGGAATAAGGGGGACGTCGGTGCAGAGGCGGTGACCCCTTTCAAAGCACGCCCCCTCTGTGACGTTGGCCCTGGCGTGTGGGTGGGGAGGGAAAGATGCACGAGTGGTTGAGAAGAGCATCATACCAATCGAGGCTGCATGCGTCCCCCACCACCACCACGTTGCGCCCCCTCACTGCCACAGAAAGCCCCTGGCAACTCCTAGCACCCTTTAGCACCGCCCAGTACCCCCTGTAGTCCCCGACGTAGGCCTTACCAGGCATCTCCCAGCTGCCCTGCCTTGTTCTTGGTCCCCTCAGTGGCAAGGTGGTTGAGCAGAGAGTCGTGCCAGTCGAGGCTGAACGCGTCCCCCACCACCACCACGTTGCGCCCCCTCACAGCCTCACACCCACTCCTCAGGCGCCGCAGGACTTACCAGGCATCTCCCAGTTGCCCTGCCCTGTGCTTGGTTTGTGCAGTGTGACAAGGTGGTTGAGCAGTCAAGACTCAAGACGCATCGTGCCAGTCGAGACTAAACGCGTCCCCCACCACCACCACGTTGCGCCCCCTCACAGCCACTCCTGAGGGCACTTCAGGAAGCCCCAACCTAGGCCTTACCAGGCATCGCCCAGCTGCCCCGCCCTGTTCTTAGTGCCCACAGTCACAAGGCGGTTGAGCAGAGTCGTGCCAGTCGAGACTAAACGCGTCCCCCACCACCACCACGTTGCGCCCGCCCCCTCACACCCACTCCTTTTTGAGGCACCTAAACGACTTACCAGGCATCGCCCAGTTGCCCTGCCTTGTTCTTAGTGCCCGCAGTGACGAGGTGGTTCAGAAGAGAGTCGTGCCAGTCCAGGCTGAACGCGTCTCCCACCACCACCACGTTGCGCCCCCTCACAGCGCGGCAGAACCCCGCGCGGTCAAACTGCTGGAAGGGGCAGCGGCGGGGGCTGGCGGGGCGCCACTGGTACAGCAGCTCCTTGCGCACCCGCCATGCCGCCCTTGCGTTAGGGGATCGCCTCGCCCGCTCTGCAGCCGCCCCAAACACACCTCCCTTCCTGAAGGGACGGGAGGGTTCGGTAGGTGGGGAGGAGGGCGGGAGCAGGAAGCAAGCATGTTGTTTTGGGGCGGTTTGGAAATCAGCTAGTGTGGTGGGTGGAACGGGTGGGAGGGGCAGCGGAGGCGGCTGGCAGGGCGCCACTGGTACAGCAGCTCCTTGCGCACCCGCCATGCCGCTCTTGCATTGGGCAACCTCCGTGCGCGCTCCGCTGCTGCTCCAAACACTCCGCCCTTCCTGAATGGGAGAAACACGACAGGGGCGTTGGGTCGGAGGGAGAGGAAGAGGGACAGATGGGGCAGGAGGCAAGCAGGTATGTAAACCAGCTACTAGTGAGGTGGAACGGGAGGAAGGGGTGGCAGCGGCGTGGGCTGGCGGGGCGCCACTGGTACAGCAGCTCCTTGCGCACCCGCCATGCCGCCCTTGCGTTGGAAGTTCGCCTCGCCCTCTCCGCTGCGCCCCAAACACTCCGCCCTTTCTGACATGGGATAGGCCACACAGGAGCAGGTTGGGAGGAGAAACTGTAGCAAGCTACAGGAGAGGTGGCTCGCACAGTGACAAGTATCTGCACCTCATCCAGTCCCCGTACCACACTGGACCACACCACACCGCACCTTTTGGCAAAGAGCAGGTCGCAGGAGCGGTAGTTGGGCTGGCGGGAGACAGTCAGCGGGTTGAGGTCCCACGGCATCCAGCGCGGAGTCAAGTTCGTTGAGCAATGGGATGAAGCCCCTGTGTAACCAACACACTGTACCGCACCATACCTCGCCGTACCTCACCCGTACCACACCATACCTTGCGGCACCACGCCGCACCTTTTGGCAAAGAGCAGGTCGCAGGAGCGGTAGTTGGGCTGGCGATCAATACTCAGCGGGTTGAGGTCCCACGGCATCCACCTTGGCGTCGAGTTCACCGCCCACAGCCCGTCGCGCGACACACACGCCAGCTGGCGCTCAAAGTCCAGCACTCGCTGCCCCGTCACGGGCGTCCCTGGGATGCGCAGGAACGCCACGTTGCGCAGCCGGTGAGTCGACATGCCCTCCTCTTCCTCCTCCTCGTCATCTAGTTGAGCCGACTCCACGCCTGCAATAGTCATACACAGGAGAAGAGTGCGGAGAAATTGAGTCCAGCAGCACCTGCTGCCCCGTCACGGGTGTCCCCGAGATGTGCCGGAACACCCTGAGTTGGGCAGCCGGTGGGTTGACTGACATCATGCCGTCTTCTCTCATCCAAGCTCTGACTCATGAGTCGACTCAAAAGGTGCATTTTGAGTCGACTCAAAAGTCACCTCGTTTGGCAGCCGGTGGGTTGACATCATGCCGTCTTCTCTCATCCAAACTCTGACTCACTCAGTACCAGACTCATCTCGCTCGGCAGTCTTCACATATATCTGTGAAGCGATTTTTCAAGAATCTCAAAAATCACAAAAACTCTAATAAATCATGGGAATTCCAAAAAAATCTCTCACTCAAACTTTGAATCACTCCCACACTAGACTCACCTTACTTGTATCTGATACACATCACTCTCTGGCATGTTCTGAACTGTGCTATCCAGCTTACTCAAACATTAGCATTGGGGTACTCTGGCTTACTCACCTACTCACTCAAAACATGAACGCATTCTATACCTGACTGACTGACGCACCTCGCTGGGCAGTCTTCACAGAGTCATACATCTGTGCAACGTCACTGGGCAGTCTTCACAGAGTCATACATCTGTGCAACGTCACTGGGCAGTCTTCACAGAGTCATACATGTGCAACGTCACTGGGCAGTCTTCACAGAGTCATACATGTGCAACGTCACTGGGCAGTCTTCACAGAGTCATACATGTGCAACGTCACTGGGCAGTCTTCACAGAGTCATACATGTGCAACGTCACTGGGCAGTCTTCACAGAGTCATACATGTGCAACGTCACTGGGCAGTCTTCACAGAGTCATACATCTGTGCAACGTTACTCTCCGGCATGTTATGAAACGCAATATCCAGTCCAGCTTACTCAAACACTGTTAGACTGGCTTAACCACCTGACGCACCTCGTTGGGCAGTCTTCACAGAGTAGTATATCTGCGCCACATCGCTCTCCGGCATGCTCTGAACCGCGCTTTCCACAGCCGTTTTACCGCCCTCCCCCTCACTCTCATCCTCCCCACCCGCTCCTCCTCCAGAGCCCCACCTCCCAGTGCCTGTCTCCCCATCTGCTTCTGCCACTGCCCGTTCTGCCTCCTCCTCCGCTCTCTCAGCCTCGTTGACCGCTTTCTTCCCTTCTATGTCCACCGAATCAAGATCCTCCTCCTCTGCATCCCGCTTCCCCATCTTCTTCCCTTTCCTCCCCTTCTTCCCCTTCTTCCCCTTCCGCCCCTTCTGCCCCTTCTTGGATGCGCCACCTCGCTTCTTCCTCCTGCTTCTACCTCCGTCCTCCTCCTCCTCTTCTGCTTCTTCCGCCTCCTCCTCCTCCTCTTCCTCTTCCTCCTCGTCATCATAGCTTCCTTTTCTCTTCCTCCCTCCTGTCCCAGTTTTTTTCCTAGCAGCACCACGGCCCTTCCTCCCCTTCTTACTACTAGATACCTCCTCCTCCTCATCTTCCTCCTCTTCCTCGTCTCCTCCCTCTCCTCCATCCTCCTCCTCCTCCTCCTCTTCCTCATCTTCATCCGCTGCAGCACCTTTCCCCCGCCGTCCTCCCTTCTTCCGTTTGGACCCCCCCCTGCCCCGTACCCGCTCACTTTCCTCCTCCTCATCCTCATCCCCCTCCTCTCCCTCCTCGCTCTCTTCCTCTTCTTCCTCTTCCTCCTCCTCCCCTCCCGCTTCCTCCTCTTCTTCCTCCTCCCCTTCCTCTTCCTCCTCACCTCCTCTCACCCTCCCCCCACTCCTCCCCCCTCTACCAAACCCACCAGCACCACTTCTGGATCCCAATCCACCCCTATTCCCACTGACACCAGTCTCCATATCCCCCTCATCATCCATTCCCCACGATCTTGAACCCGTTTTAGGCACACGACTGCTGGAAACCCCGAGCCCACCACCACCAGCGCTCCCCTTCCCATCCTCATCCTCATCCTCTGCGGACATACCCGCCGACCCCCCTCTTCCACCCCATGTGGACGCGCCTCCCCCTCCCCACCTGCTTCCGCCTGCCCCAGCACCACCTCCCCCGAATCTACCAGCACCACCACTGCCGCTACCACCCCACATACCGTCTCTGCTGCTGCTGCTGGAGCCAAATCCATCCCTCGACCCACCACTCCCACCACTTCCCATCATGTCATCCTCATCCTCCCCTCCACTTGCCCCCAACCCGCCCCTTTTGCCACCACCAGGGGCATTCCAGGCGGAAGTTCTGGATGAATCTCCTGAATTCAGACCCCCCAACCGACCAGCGCCAGTGGTGCTAGTGGACCTTGGGAATCCCGACGCCAGGCCTGTCTCCCCGTCCCCATCCTCGGAATCCATACCCTCATCCGCTGCCCCAAATCCTGCTCCCGAACCTGCTCCCGTGCCTGCTCCGAATCCTGCTCCCGATCCTGCTCTCGAGCCTGTTCCCAAGCCTCCCCCGTATCCTCCACCAGACGACATCTTATTGGTAAAGGAGGGAGTGAGATCTGAGCTGTCATCGGTGGAACCATCCCCCATAGAAGCAGCATCGTCGCCGTATTCAGACGATGCGTCCAGACCAGTAGGTGAGTCGGATGGAGCTGTGGTTTGCTTCTTAAGGCTGCAGTGCAGGACAGAGAACAAGGCATCCAATCGAAGGAGAGGGAAGAAAATATGAGATCCGGGCTGTCGTCGGTGGAACCATCACCCAAGGAAGCAGCATCATCGCCGCGGTACTCAGATGATGCGTCCAGACCAGTAGGTGAGTCGGATGGAGCTGTGGTTTGCATCTTAAGGCTGCAGTGCAGGACCGAGAAAAGGACATCCGTTCAGCCGAAAGAAAGGGGAAGAAAACGTGAAGCGGGGAACAGAGAACGGAATGAGAAACCAATGCGGGAGAATTCCCAGCCTTTACTCGAATTTCAAGTGCTAGAAGGCGAATTTTCATACAGGTCTGAATCTCGTCACGAGATCGAACCTGATGATCCCGCTGTTCCAGATTATCATTTCCAGCAGTCAGATCACCACGAGGGAGATCCTTTTGTTCACAAGCAATTCGCGCGTTTGAGGCACCAAAAGATAGTCTCGGGTTCGTACCTGATGATCCCGCTGTTCCAGATGATCATTCCCAGCAGCCAGATCACCACGAGAGCGATTACCGGTGAGCAGATCGTTCGCCAGCTGTTACCAGCTCCACCGGGAATCCAGCCCAAAATTCCGCTGGCTTTCCTGGACGCCCCGGGTCGATGCCTGATCGGACGGCGAGGAGGCGACACGCCTCCGATACGCTTCGTCGGCTCGAGCGCGAAACCCCACATTTTCACGGATAATTGCAGTTCAATCAGGATAAGTTAGGGATTCAGCAACTGAAGTAAGACTACGGAAAATGCATGTTCAGAATCCGTTCTATCGGCTGACGCTGACACACGGCATCAGCTCAGATTACTGTGGAACGTTGTTCAGCGGTGACGTTTCAGGCTCAAAAAGCACCTGTTGCCGCCATCACCAGCCAACCTCGGATGCTGAATTGAGGTTGCTGACGCCTGTTACAAACGACTAGCCTGTTCATGAATGCAATGAACCAGGAGTACCAACGGTGCCTGTTCACTATTGCGTCACGCAATAGTGTCAGGAAGTTGTTTGTGTTTGTCAGGTAGATGTGTGAGGGAGTGCGCGAGATGGACCAATGGAGTTCTCAATGGATCGTAAGTGAAGCTGTTCATTGCTGGTTCCTCGTGCCACCTTGGGCTTCCTGAAGGTGATGCTGCATGGGATGGTTAGCGTTTCATAGGGTACCGCGAGTTTGTTTAGTACGCATGAGAAGTGTGCCTACAGTGATGAGGGATAAGCGTAGGAATATTAGGCATAACACATCCAGCCATAGAGCTGTCGATATAAGGCACAAA